TATTATAAAATATATATACTTATAATATATATATAATATATATACTTTATTATATATTTATAATATTATACCTTATATTGTATTATGTGTATTATATATTTACTACAGTAAGGTCAATGACCTCGGTCACGCGAGTACGCTAAGGTCACTGACCTCGGTCACGCGACTACGCTAAAGTCACTGACCTCGGTCACGCGACTACGCTAAGGTCACTGATCTTGGTTCCGTGATTACGGTACATACATATATATATATATATATATATATATATATATATATATATAGAATATTATATATAATATATATATTTTCTTTTTTACTTTTTTTCCTGTCACGTTACCTTACTTTAGTCACGTTTTTAAAGACACGTGACTGTAGTCACGCGTTGTTTTTCCACTCCTCCTTCTTTCTATTCTTCGAGTTTGATTTTGATGCGTTGTTTCTGACATCTCTCATATTGTACATCATGTGTATTATATGGTGTGTAAGACGTATATAGTAGCTGTCATCCCGGTGACAGGTTGTGTTTACTGGCACGATACATTTTATAAATAAAAACAACAATAGCGTGCGCGTAGTGCGCGTCTTGTGTTGCGCTGGTAAATAAAAAAAAAGTGTAATATAGCGTGTATTTCAATTTTTTTTTGCCGTAATGTCACGTGCGCGCGTGTAATTGAACGTAATCAAGCATTGCAAAACCTGCACTGTGTTTGGAGACCGTAACTGCAAGTTTTGCTTTTTACTTGGTCGACGACCGCGGCTCGAGTATCGTTTCTCTCCGCAAAGAAGCCGTACGACGTTCCGGCGAAATGAGCTAAACAAGTGACGGTCTCAAAGTGGGTTAAGTCGTCACACGTTCTTTCTTTCTCTTCTGTACACGCAGTTCAAATTTTTCTTCTCAACAACATAACACCACGTCTGAATGGAACATGTTCTTCTCGCGCTCTAATAACTTCGACAAATTTGAACGTTCGGATATGAACAAACGAACGACGGCGCGTTAAATATTGAGATACTCGCGAAGTGAAACAAATTCTTCCTCACTTCTTCCAAAAAAAAAAAAAAAAAGAGTTTAATCTGAAACAGTAACGCGCGTGAAATCGCGCAAAACTCGCGGAAAATTTCGTCGAACCGATGACACTCTTCGCTCGCGGATCGATCAGTCGGGGTAAAGGTGTCTTGTCTGATGCAGAATCGCCGAGGCGTTATGTGGAGGGTGAGGTGACGATTCACTATCGCTCGCCGGTGCGTACAGAGGCAAAAGAGCCGCTGAGCGAAGAAGAGCTCGCGCGCCGTAGTGCGGAGAACATGCGGCGCGTCTATCAGGAAGAACGTCGTCGCAAGTATCTTCAGGAGTTGCACGACATCGACTCGCGCAGGCACACGGACAACTTCATGTGAGTACATTTGTTTTTTGTGTGGATTGTTTTGGAACAATCGAATTCAAATTAAATTGGTTTCTTTTTTTCTATTACGTCTAATAACTTGGGAGAAACATTTATGTCGCGAGACCAAAAGAGAAAAGAGACGCGCAAAAAATCTTTTCGCACCGAATAATCAGATTACGTATTTGTTTTATATTGTCGCGCGCATCAAGAGAAGAGTGTTTTTCAAACTCGAATAATATGGGTGGCTGAGGATGACCGTAATCGACGGTCGAAACGTTCCACAATAAATCACTTTATATTCCACACTAAGTTTATTTATTATACTGCCACCATCTGCAGTCCAAAGGCAGGAACGTCTATTTTCTATCTAATTTTTATTGTATTACTGCTTGTTTTCCAATCGAATAATATGTTTTCGAAAAATGACGTTAATAGCGTTAAGAGATATGCGGATCTTCGGTTTGTCTCGCTGTCGCGTCGTCAAACCTCGTAAACACTTCCTGCTATTTCAATAGCCATTGCGTAACGCATCGAGAGCCGCGCGCTGTTTTTACGCGGACGACACAATGAAAGCGTAGGTAAATGCGCAGGTAGAAAACCAACACACATCGAGATCGTTTATCGATGTCCCAGAGAAGTTTGCGCCGTTATGACATTTCATGATTAACAAAATAGAAAGTCTCTCTCTTTTACACACTTCGGATCGGAAGGAAAATACCGCGTCGAGAAATCGTGAGATATTAAATTTCTTTTTTTACGTGTTATATAGTAGAAAAAATTCTTTTGGAAGAATTTAAGAAAATAATTTCTTTATTAGAACACTTGTCTTCTCTTGTGTATTTGATCGGTCCAAACAGTTGAACCAAATAAGATACGACCGTTTTCAATTTCCTCCTGATAAAAATTGTTCTCGATTGAGAACATTTTAAGAGAATTATTGACAATGACCGAAGAGAATTGTTCGGCGTCGGGGTTTCCCGCGCACGTGAAAGCGTTCTCGCGCGATTTCGACAATTCGAATTTTTTGATTTCAGACCTTCGCAAAAGTCGCCCATACCGTTGAATCGCTACGACGATTTCGTGGACGATTTGAGCCAGCGAAGTCGATCCCAAGATCAAACACCGGAACCGCGTCTGGTGGCCAGGGCGCTCTACAATTTTGTCGGACAGTCGTCGCGGGAATTGACTTTCCGGCGTGGCGATATCATATTTGTTCGACGTCAGGTGGACAAGAACTGGTACGAGGGGGAGTACAACGCGATGATCGGATTGTTTCCTTACAACTATGTCGAGGTAATTGCTCGAAATCAAAGTTGCGGACATATCGCGGTTGAGTGTAATTTGTGTTTTCGTAATTACAATCGTCTTTTTCGTTGTGATGAAGATTCTACCGTATGACGGTACAATGCGAACGACCCCGAAGAAGGCTCACGAGGGACAGGCGCGGGCTAAATTCAACTTCGTCGCCCAGACCAATCTCGAATTGTCCTTAGTGAAAGGTAAAAAAAAAAGCCTGACGTTAAAAAATCGCACAAACTAATTGTTTTCTCGTTTACTCCAATTGTTAAAATCACAAGAATTATCATTTTTTTCGCACGTGTTTGGTTTCACAGGCGAATTGGTGGTTCTGACGAGAAGAGTCGACGAGAATTGGTACGAAGGTCGCATAGGAAACAGAAAAGGAATATTCCCGATCTCGTACGTTGAGGTGATCACGGAACCCGGACATCGATCAGGTGAGAGACATTTGAGCGGGAAGATAAATGTGATCGGAAAGAGAAAACCCGAGACGGAGATACGTTATGAGAATAGATCGATCGAGCACGACGATCGATTTCGACGTGAAATTCGAAGGAAATCGTATTTCTTGTTTCAGAGACACCGATTCAGAACAAACCGGTCGCGTCTCCGGCGGCGCACAGTCTCTTAGCGAACGGCTCGTCCGGAGGGAAAATGAGCATGGGACCTCATCATTACGTGCCGTCCATCCCGGTCAATATCAACACAACCCAGCCCCATTATAATTCACTGGTAACTATCGCACATACGATCTTAAATTACGGCATAATTACTTTGCATACACACAGCGTGATTGAATCCTTTTTTTTAACATTTCATTATGCCGTTTTTTGATGAAAGAACTCGCTCTTGTTGAAAGTCAATTCTAACGAGACGCAAAAATTTGTCAAAAGTATATATATACGAGTATGTAATTACGTGATATCTTTCAAACTCTCTTTCAGCCACGTATGGGAGGGAGCAAGCTGCATATATCGCAGCTCAGCGAGACGCTGCACATTGACACGCATTCGGAACCAATTCCGTGAGTATTTTCTATCCTCGTCACTGTATAATACGAGATTTTCATGTTTGATCCGTTAAATTTTATATATTAGATACTCTATCTATTTTTCTATTTAGATAATTGATTGAATATTAATAAAATTTATTAATATCGCATCTCAACATTATTCTGACGCTTAATTAAATCCCTTTCGCGACTAGAAAAAAAAGTATAAAAATTCCAAGAATGTTGTTTGTTGTCTTTCCGCGAGACAGATATCGAGCGTTATACAATTACAAGCCGCAAAATGACGACGAGCTGGAGCTCAAAGAGGGCGATACGGTGTACGTAATGGAAAAGTGTGACGACGGATGGTACGTCGGCTCCAGCCAGAGGACCGGTTACTTCGGCACCTTCCCGGGTAACTACGTGGAACGATTGTGAGGAAGATCGACGATCCAGGACTTGAACGCCACGCTGCGCATCAAGACCCAGGATAATTTTCACCAAAGCACTAGACGGAAACGTTAAGCTAAGATTATCAAAAATTTTGTTCGTTTAACTCGCTGTCGATTCCTGGCGATAAAAGCGCCTTCTCGCAGATCTGAGAATTTTCTGGAGAAGTTTAACTGTTTTCATCATTATTTTAAATTAATAATATTTTATTATCGGACTCTTTAGGATTTTGTTTTGCAATTTTAATAATTTGACTCGCATATTTTACTAAAAAAAAAAAAAAGATTTTAGCATACGATTGTAGCATATCTCCGTTGTATCTTTTAATTTACTAATTAAGTTTCAAATATATATATCGGCGAGAAAGATTGTTATTTAATGATTAACAAATTTTATTTAAAAACAAAACTATACTACTTTTGTTTACATGTTTATGACATCTAACAAATAACTTTGCCTGCTCGCGCTCGGGACAGAATGTAAGATACTGACTGATTTTCTTTCGGAAACATCGTGTAATATGTAATTTCATATATCATATACATATATATATATATATAATACGTAATAATTAGCAAAGTGTGTTACCGAATAAAACAACGAATAAAACTTTGTAATTAAATCCACGCAAATGCCTGCGTCGCACGACAGTACTTTTTCCACGTTCGACGAATGTGATTAAAGTGACATGACGTTTCGTGCAACGATATTCTTCTATCGTTCTCATCGAACGATGTGTGTAAAAGGCGAGAGAAGATTAGGCGTTTTTACAGCGGGAAGTGAAGAATGTCACACAAGAGTCTTCCTTTTTTTCGATCTAGCGACGATGTAACACGCAGTTAATTAATATATTAAGAATACCCGCATTGTGCGGGTACAGACGTAACAGAGCCCTCGTACGATCAGAATTACTAGCGGTAATAAACTCAATGTTTTAAATTCTATTCCCTCCTCCCCCTATTGGCCATATTCGATATGATTGCACCGTCGGTTGTTTGTGAAATGCCAGAAGGTAGACTGATCGTGTCAGGGCCTTTCTTCGGCGCGTCGGATTTACCAAAAGATTTAGCTTGATAAGAGTCCGCTCTAGGATAATAACGCGAGTAATCTTTAAGTAGAGTTTTTTTTTGTAAGTAGTGTACGATAACATGATTAGTAACTTATTATTATTGCTGCTTCTGGCAGTTGGTAAACTGATTCGAAACAATGTTGCTACGTTTGAGCGAGTTTTTAACGAAATTTTCACATTACGTGAAATCATCGACGGAAGGTATATAATGAAAAAAAAAAAAAATCTTACATGACATCGAAGACTTTTGGAGGTATACAAAGAAATGGCGGATGACAAATTAATTCGAGATTTTAGAGCGACCATTCTTCGAAAAGCAAATTAAAACGAAAACTTGAGTGTTGAGTTCGCGGTAACGGCGCGGTTTCTCTCTACATAAATATATATACATACATATATATATATATATATATAAATATATACATATATATATATATATATATGATTTTAGTGACTTAGATAAAATCGGCTATTGTTATTGTTGCATTCGTGAATATTTCGAGACTAACGAACTTATAATTGAAAGTTTGCCTTCCCAAATTAATATTTTTGTAAACATTATTTGTACCCAGAGAGTTATATATAAATATACAACAAACAACATAAAACATATACATGTATAATATTACATTAGAGGTATCGTGTACTGTATACTGCGCGATATATATACATATATAAATAATATATAAAAAAGATTATATCACTAGCGAATCAAACGAATGCACGTACGTGCAATGTACATGCACGCAAGCATAACGAAAAATGATGTATATACATACATACTAACGTGTGAGCTAAGTACGAAGAGCCGTGACGAAGAAATCGCCAGCTTCCTTCCGACGTAATAACAACAACGTCGAGGTCGCGACAGACTCCGAGTCGCACGGCCGTTGCGACTTCTTTTTCGGTGTCACTTGTATTATGACGTGCGCGCGCGCGCGCGCGAGAGAGAGAGAAAGAGAGAGAACGTCTGTCTCCTGAGCGCTATAATATAATAATAGATATACAGTCGGAAATCACAGACAATACTACGAATACAATAATAATAATTATTACAGGAACGAAAGAGATAATGTGATAAGGGCATTACACACATGCGATGAAATCGAGTAAACTCGAGAAAGAGTTGGACGGATGTCATTTTTACCTTCGATAAAAGCCTATTATTAAGCAACTGGAAAATCGTCTCTTTTCTTCGTTGTCTTGTATCCTCAGCGTACATTTAAACGACAAAAGCTTTCGAATCATGATTCAAGCATAAAAATTTGTATTTTGATACACATTTTATTACATATTGTAACTTTTTAACATATTATATATTATTATAATATATAACACACTTAGTGTTTTTGCTTTTATTTAGCTTGATATATATGAATGATTAAAAGCAAATTTTTTTTTTTCGATCATTCAGAGGCATGAGAAATTTTTTCTAATCGCAATTTTTTAACCACTTGCGGTGCAAAGACGTGCCACGCACGTCGAGATGCTTCTGTTACCGGAACGCCAGCGACGTGTTACACACGTCGTCAGGCGATTGTTGCAGAAAAGAAAATGACGTGCATGTCACGTCAACTGTGACGCATTTATTTATTAATAAATAAGATTAGTATTCATACATATGTAATTTTATCATCAGTTGATGCGTCTTTATTTTATTCTCTTCTGGAACCCCCTGAACACTGCCTGAACGCGCTCCGAAGTGATTTGCACTCGACTGTTCTGGCACGCGCGACCGTAAATTTCTTTGCACCGCAAGTGGTTAAACAACCGAATGTATATATGTATACAGTTAAATGTACGATGAAAATACGAGATGTTTGCGTGTATTAAGAAACATTGCGTCTTGCGTGTCACGCGAGTTTGCGAATTCACGTGCGCATATATCCACGTACATATCTCATTAAATTGTAAGACGCATCCGAGAGAAATATATATATATATTACAAGATTGTTAAATCTATGTAATCTTCAGAAAGAAGTCTTGGAACACTTTTCCATTTATAAGAATTGGCGGTTCCGAAAATGTCGTAAAATATTCAGTGTGGTATACGCGACGGTTATAATGCTGTAACATGATTTTCTTTCGGTTGTGTATGTGGAAAAACACTTTTACAAAAATCCTGCACATAAAAGAAAAAAAAAACAAATTTTACTAACGTTGAGAGAGCAAGGTCATCGTAAGGTTTATTTATTCAAGCACGCTTAACGATTCTACGTTTTTTGTTTTGTTCTTTTTTTTTTTTTAGCAATATCAAAAATCCGTTGATAAGCGTAATACCACTGTTTCACAACAAATCACATTTGTTCGAAATAAATATTTTGCTTGACTTTAAATCGAACCAGTTGGCGATTTGAAAATATAAACTCGTTTTCACAATTTAACTTCACACTAATGACGTTACTATATATTATGTAATCTCTAGATGCAAGAATAAAACCTAGTCCATTACTAAGATTTGTTGATTTGCAATAACAATAACTTACTTTAAGACAGAAGAAAAAATAAATCAGCACCGAAGATATATATATGTCTGGTAGTTCTTTTTTCATCTCACGTTTCATGTGTATAAAACAAAAGAAGAGAAAATATTTAAAACCTATATTGAATAATATATTTTTCGTTTTTCTTCCGAGAATACACGTTCTTTACATAAAAAGTTCAAGTAAATTTTGTGTTTTAGTTTTTAATACTATTGATAAGAAAATACAGTTTAATTATATTCCATATACATATGACATTACAGTCGGATGACATTCTGTAGTTTCTCTTCATCAAAATGTTTTTTTCTCCAAACACACACAAAAAAATATACTAATATATTTGTGATGATCATATCGGTCGTCGTTCAAGATTAGTCGAAAGAATTGGTTGATACTAATACTGTAAAGTATGACACTGAGGTTTGTAAGAGCTAAATAATAGAATAAAAATCGTCATCAGTTTTTATACGTGTGTATCCTCTTTCTTTTGCAACATAATATACTTCAATATCCAAGATTATAAAAAAATTACAGTACCGTAGTAAAATTTTCTAGCGAAAACACGTATATTTTGCCGGCGCTCAAAGTGTTAACTTCGATGCTTTTCCTCATCGCGAATAGAAACAGCCGTTGCGCTTTTACGGGTATATCGTACCACGAGCCATTATATCTACGACATATACCCTTACTATGTATTTACAATTTATATTACACATATCTGTTAGAATTTAATATTAAGTGTGTTTTCGAAACTTTTTCACGAAAACTTTCAACATTAATCAAACAAATATGACTAATTTATTTTAAACATCCAATCATATTCTCTCTCTGTTTCTCTTTTCCTTTCTTACATCTTGTTGCACATTATGAGAGTATGATCTATCAACTTCTGTCCTTCGAAGCTGAACAAGAACACATGAAACACCTGGGCGATAATGAAGACAATGTATCTCGGAGCCTCTGTTAAATTGTTATCGTGTATCTGCATTGACATCTTAAGCACGGAAAAATCTCATTTTATATATACACATTATGTTAGTTTTCCAAATCAATTTTTTATATATAATTTATACATATTTGTTTCTGTCAAATCACTTACTTGTACCAGAGTAATACTTAGGCCGGTTGACACTATCAAAATTTGAACGGCGAACGACACGTAAAAAACATCTTCGAGAAGTATCGCAAACCTGTGGTAAAAATTTACAATTGAACACAGCCACGATTAAATTTCAAGCATACTAAATCACACAGTTTATACGATTATATTATCAGATTGCAAATCTCTCATTTATTAAGATTGATTACAAAATTGGCGAAAAAAAATGTTTACATATATTGCAATATATTATTGACGCACTCACTGCAGAGCTCTTTGATGTCCGAATATTGAAAACTCAATGTTTTTGCAGTACACGTCAGAGTAATCACGTAGACACTCCTTCGTTTTACTACGTTTGTACACCGCATGTTCGAATCTAAATCTGCACATTTTCACACAATATATATATATATATATTACATAAAAATACGGACTGTCGCTTGTAATAAATTGAAACAATTATTTTACCCAACCACAGCGAAAAGACCGCAGACGTGTTCGACGTAAGTAAAGAACATGCAATCGTGCGCAATTAGTCCGGTTAAGCATACCGCAGCGACGGTTAATGTATGGCAGAAAATATAGTAGAAATATTGCTCTTCGTCGACGAAATAATACGCCGGACATATTAGGATTATCGGACGAGAGATGTTCAGGGGAAACAGGACGTCCAAGATGCGTGGCACAAGGGCTGTTGTCGCAAAGCAAATGGTGCCCGTATGAATAAATACTGTAACACACAGATATAGAGATATAAAAAAACAAAACTTCACTGATGAAATACGTGGCGTGTTACAAATTCTATAGTTTTTTTTTTATCGTACACACACACACAAATCGAGATAATTTTCTTACTTCCGTACATTAACGCGTATTGTCTGCCTCTTTCGGCGTACTGTCTCATAATGTCGTATTCTTCTCGAGTTTCAAGCATATTCCAGTCTGAGAATAAGTGATCTGTCAGATCCCTGATCTAGAAAATGCCATCGATATAACAGAGGGTGTTCTAAAAATTTACGTCTCAAAATACTTTAGGCGGGCATATGACTTAAGATTACAGACAGCAAACGTCACTTGTGACGTACATACTTTTTGACTGTTAAGTTGATACGTGAATATTTTCACCAGAATTATGATTGCCAGCATATGAGGAGGTAACGTTTCAAAGATACATTGTATGTTTTCGCATATGAACAATTTTGCCACCTAAAAATGTAACCGCGTTGTTGCGTTTGTGTGACAGAGATAAAAAAAAAAAACATTTTGAAAATATGAAGCGACATAAATTTACACAAGGAAGTTTTTCCCTCTGTCTCTCTTTCTCGAACTTGCCACAATGGTTTGTGCCAACGGAAACCTCTACCGCGTCAAATTAACAAAACACTTTTTTCTTTTTCATGGAGGCGAACGTTACCTGGGCAACGATAAGAGTCGACTCCAGCAAGATGAAAGACACAAAGTAGAGCAGTCTCTTCTTCTGATAAGGCCACTGACCGATCACCGACAAGTATCTTCTGTTAATATCGTAATAGTAACTCCGGTCAGGTTCCATGGTCTTAAACGCGGTTTTTCTACGCCAACACAACATTGTTGTCTAATTTCCCTCGGAGCCTATGTCGCCGGACAAAGTATCGAATCAATACGTTCGAAGAATATAACTGTCCTTTGTATTTTTCCGAACGTACAACTTCGATAATTATAGATCGTCACAACACGTGACGAGCACGAGTACTTATTACAACACGGGTACGCGTCTCGCGCGCATAAATAATAAATAGACAAATACACGTCGGTTTGACCAACTAATCAAACGGTACGTATACTTATTAAGTTTATTAAGATACTTGCTATTTGTGATAAATTGCATCTTATAATAAAACTGTCTGGATCCGATCCAACGACGATATCCGCCAGGGTTCTTTGTGACCCTATACGGGTTGTACAGCTTGTACAGTTAGCGCTTGATTATGTGTCCTTAATTGTGTTAACACGACGTGCAATGTGCTTCTCTTTCTGTTTTCTTTTCCTGATAAATGTAATACCGCGATGCGCGCGTGTTAAAGGAAAATAGAAAAATGCGCAAAAAAGAAAAGGAAAGGGAAGAATTTAATTCTTTAAATCGACACATTAAAATAAAATTTACGTTTCTCGCTAAATTTTTTTTTATCGCAAGTAGAAACAACAATAACTATGAGATATCCGTGATCTATCGTGAAATTTTTCGTGGCTGTTTCTTCACTAAATGCGTCGCTGCGTTCACCGGCGGATGGTGATCATGATTCGTTCACGGCACCCGTTGACGTCAGTACCGTGAAATACGACACCGAGGTTTGCACGACCTGAGTAAAAATAACAATGTCACGTAATGTATCACACGTTTTTATAATATATCGTAACGCGAAAAAAAGTGCAAAATATAGTTTCACAAAGAAATGCTTTTTTTTTTTTACCGTGCTAAAACTTTGCAGCGAAAATATATACATTTTGCCGGCACTCAGAGTACTAGCTTCGATACTCTTTCTCATCGCGATCACAAGCAGTCTTTGAGCTTTTGCGGGCATATTATACCACGAGCCACAATATCTACGACATACAACCGCCACATGTACTTTTGATATAAGAACGTTATTATTTATCGTAAATTTTATAACACCTTTTTCTATTCTAAAAACAAAAACCAAATTTTTTTTTCACATCAATCAAGCAAATTTGACAAACTTAATCGCACTCTTACATCTTGTTGCAAGTTACGAGACTGTGATCTATCAATTTCTGTCCTAGAAAGCTGTACAAGAACAAATGGAACAACTGAGTGATAGTGAAGAGAGTGTATCTCATCGCTTCCGTTAAATAATGTAATTGTACCGACGTCTTGAGTACAGAAAAAAACTCGCTTTTATATATATATATATATATATATCCATCATGTGGGTTTCTAAAGAAATCTTATATTTTTTACGTTTGTATTTGTTTTTTGTAGATCAACTCACTTGTAACAAAGTAAGGCTCAAGGTGGACGTAATGATCATCATTTGTACAGCGAGCGATACTGAAAAAGTATTTTCGATAAGCTCCGCAAACCTGTGGTAAATAGGACACGATGATGATTAATTAATAACGACGCTCTTGCGCTCTCCCATAGTCCGACCACGAGCCAGGACGTAACATCAATTCGTTCGAAATGTTTCTCAAATATATTTTGTTATTTATGAAACAACAAAAACCGCAATTATTATTTAACAAAAAATCGCTATCATTTTTTTTGCGCCTAATATCATCTTGGATAGTGTTAAGAAAACAATTTTTAATCTAAAATTTATTTTTTATACATTTGTAATTTGAATTTGTACAGGCTTTGTCTGAAGATGATCCAAACCTGGGATCGAAACGTGACGATATTTTAATATTTAAAATAAATTCCTAATTTTCACACACTAACATCCGTGTTCAGGCTCTTATTGGCCCTTTGTCCTTACTTTTATGAGAAAACAATTTTTATTATACATAATATTTGTACATACTCACTGCAAAGCTTCTCGATGTACGTGTACCGAAAGCGCAATATCTTTGCAGTATCTTTGCGTGTCATCAAGCCGATCAAACAGACTGTCCTTCGCCTCACTACGTTTGTACAACATATGTTCAAATCTGAATCTGCAAATGCGCGCGATCTGCATTTACGTGTCGATAATTTTTTCCAATATAATTACTTCTTGTGTGATCTCAAAAAGAGACGAAAACATTACCGCGATATTTGTTCCTCATTACGCACAAATAGCGTACATGTAAGTATGTAAATATATATAAATAAAAATATAAATGTATAAAATTAAATATATAAAATAAATAAATATATATATATATATATAAAATAAATATATGTGTGTCATATATATGTGTGTTGTCCAGATGAAATAAATTTTATTACCCAGCTACGGCAAAAAGACCGCAGACGTGTTCGATGTAAGTGAAAAACATGCAGTCGTGCGCAATCAGTCCGTTTATGCATATCAAAGCGACAATTAGCACGTGGCAAACAATATAGTAGAAATATCGCTCCTCGTCAATGAAATAATGCACCGGAATCGGTAGAAGTAATGGACGAGAAGTATTTAGAGGAAACACAACGTTCAAGATGGATGGCACGAAGGCGGTTAGAATAAATAAAATGACAGTCATGTAAATAATACCTGCAACATAGTGAAATACACACACGACTCTGAGTCAGAGACAAACGCGTCTATGATTACGCGTCGAAATTTTATATTTTGCGTTGTCTATAAATTGTTACTCGTCTCTTCGTTAATATTCGCAAAGCGTTGCGTCGTAGATGTTAAATTTCCCGTAGCACGCGAGATATAAAAAAGTGCACACGATTATCTTATCTCACTACTCATAGTGCGTTTATCGCTTTAATCGTTTTTCGAATCTGATTAGCGAAAACCTTGGCGAAGTGACGTCTTGAGTTTCTTTGTACGCGTTTCGATCTCTTGACGCAATGTTTAAAGAAAAATCAAAGGAGAGAGATTGCTTACAAGTATATCGCACCGCATATTGTCTGCCTTTCTCCGTATACTGTTTCATAATCTCGTATTCTTCTTGAGACCCGAGCTTGTCCCAGTCTAAGAACAAACGATCTACGAGATCTCTCATCTAGAAACGTCATTGATATATTTGTCGATATGGACAACGAGTTCGCTAGTGAATATAAACTATCGTCAATAAGAAGCTACTGTAATTTTATTTAGGCCCGAGCTTAAAAAAAAAAAAAAAAAACTGCTAACGTACTTGCATAACGTACTTTCTGACTATTAAAGTGATATGTGAATATTTTCACTAGATTTATCACCGCCACCATGTGAGGAGGAAACGCTTCGAATATACACTGCATGTTCTCGCACACGAAAAATTTGGCTACCTGAAAATTACGAACTACTTGGAGCAGATTAACAAATTTTCTTCTGTTACAAAGAACAAAGGCTATAGAAAATTCCTAAAAAAAAAAAAAAAAAACAAAAAACAAACTTTTTTCACTTATATAACCTGCGGAACGATGAGAGTAGACTCCAGTAGGACACAAAAAAGAAAGAAGAATAACTTTTCCTTCGGCTTCTGATAGGGCCACTGACCAATCAGAGACAAATATCTTCTATTGATGTCGTAATCGTAATCTCTGTTAGAGACTACGGTTTTGTAGACGGTTTCTCTTAGCCGCGACATTTTTCCGTGTCTACACCTTTTTTTTTTTTTCGGACCCTACAACGTCTACAACGTCAGAGGAAGTCTAAATCAATACGTCAAATGAAAGCTCTCTCTCTCTTATCTTTTTCTTCCGAACGTATATACAGCGCGTACGTAATCGTACGGGGCTATAGGCTGCAATATCACTCATTGTAACCCGTACTTATCGTAGCGGATAACAAGTATAGGTTTTTTCCATAAATATATATCTCGCGTAGATACTATGCAACAAAGTGCACGCAATGTTTGACAAGCCAATTAAATGATACTTAGTTGAGCAGTCAGACACGACGATAATATCGATCCTTAGATATACTTCCTTTTGTATAATAGCAACCTATAATGTTCGTTGGAAGAAGACTTGGAACATCTTCTCGTTTGTTCCAAGAAACTTCCATCGTAACGACGCGCGCAATTCGGAAAAAGATTGCCGGCGACTTTCCCAAGACTCTTGTTCCAAAAAGTAAACCAAAAAGTCTGCCGACAACATACACCGAGGTAACAAAGTGAAATAAATTTTATTAGATACAGATACTCACCGTGCGAAGATCGTGATCCAATAAAAAGGATGTTTCTTCTTCTCTTTGTGATACCGTTTAACGAGCAAGAGCATCACTTCACATTGTTTTCTCTTGGAATATTTGTTTCTCCGCCGGTGTGACACCCAAAGAATTAGAGCGAGGAAATAAATTTGTGCAAAACTTGTGATAGGATATATAGATGACATTTATTTAATTATTTACGCTACTGGATGTTGTTATATTCGTAATAGGTATCTATAATTATGTATCGATAATTATGCGTGAGGTCAGTCGCGCGAGTTTTACAAGTTGTTCGTGTGTATGTGTGTGTGTGTGTATATATATATGTGAAACAGTGTATTACAATGAGTATGCGTAATGTAAATTAATTACACGGGAGGGAGAGGAAGGGGGCGAGAGAATGTGTGACGAGAAACAGGAGATGCTGCTTTCGAAAAAATGCAAGATGGGCTCGGCGAATCATCGACCACGCATCAATCAGCTATCTCGCCGGCGTTCCGTAATTGTTTTTTTTTTGTTTTTTTCTTCCGGCGATACAAAACACCACCGGATAAAAACTTATGCGCGACTCGATTTACAAATAGAGCTACGTTTGTCTCTTCTTTACATGCCCTTCGATATCGATCACTCTCGATCGCGATTACGTAAAAACTAAATAAATGAGACTCGATCGCTATCTCGCATTTCACTCGCAATCCTTTCACCTCAAAAAATTTTCCGACATCCAAAGGCATTCGAGAACTACGCTCGTTTCTCAGTATCAAATTTTTTTGTTTAATCGACATAACTCGTCGTCACGTACTACTTCCGCTTAAATTAGTGAAAGGGTTGAACACGTATTATCTCTACGAAGACANTTTTTTTTTTTTTTTTTTTTTTTTTTNNNNTCGCGTGTTCACTCCTCCAGCCGAAATATATAAAATTTTTTTAAATCAAACGGACACAGGAGCGCGCGGAGATAATGATCAAGTCCGGAAAAATACATACACTTAAGAGCTTAGCAATATACAAGGACGTATGTAACATAAGGCGCAATCCCGCGTCGAGGGATTGCGATAATTAATTCGTTCTGCTCGACGAATCAAAAGTACAGTTTGAACTCCCTTAAATATCGACTTGTTTTTTTTCCGAGATCGAACAAACCCTCTATTCGTAACTTTCCCTCGATTTCCGATCAATACGCAGAATGAAAGTGCATGTTCATTGTGTATTGGTCGTTTTCGTTTTACACATTAACAAATTACACGTAGTTTCACGTTTAAGAAAGTGATTCAGAAACAAAGAATGCAAGAATTTAGAAGACTTTTATAGTGAAATTATTTGTATCGTTGTCCTTGTGTGTAATACACCGCGATTGATCATTTTAAATTTTTTATTCGAACAACCAACATAAACACAATTGTATCAAAACAGAAGGACATACGATTGGATTTAAAAAGAAAAACGTGTATAAAAAATCTGATGCTGATTTTTCATGTAACGACATACGTGTTAGAATCATCTACAAGTGTTTGTGCTCGATTCGTTTCTATGTCTATCAAAAGTTTTGTTTACAACGGCGATCCCAGAAATTATTTACGACCGGTTACAAAGCTACATCAGGACTGAGACGCGTCAAAAAATCATCTTATTATTATAATAATAATAATCTATGTACGCACCAGCATACATAAATTTTACAAGTGCACGAGACGCTGAATTATACAGTCGATAACTTACCGACTAATAAGATATAAAATAATTATTATACGCACTTAGAAAGTACGTCGCATGTAATAAAAACATGTTTTACGGGGTAACGACAATTGTTACACAAGAATTTTACATATTTGCATACTAATATTACATACAAAAAAAGAAAAAACAAAGTCATAAATACAAGTAGATACGTATAGGCCGTTATTCATATAGTCGGATCTTGTGTAAATAAAATCAATCTGTGAACGTTTGATGAAAAAATTTGGTGCGGGCATTATTTGACAAAATCTATTCTCGACAGGTTTGACCATCAGAATTATTTATAAATCGTCGCTAAGTTCATCTTAGAGATAAACCATCTCATCTCATTGTGGCTACACATTCATCTGACAATCAACTTAAATATAAAGAACTATGAGAATACCGGCCATAAATCTTTTATTAAAAAAAAAAAAAAATTTACAAAAAACCCTTTCGAAAGAGATACATAACAACACAATAAAATACAAGAGAAAAGGAAAATATATGTATAAACAAAAGGAATATTTATATTACTTTAGCTCCAGGAGTGAAACTACTTTTAATATTGCATTTTTAAGTCCATATGATGAAGACCACTTCAATCCTGTATTGTCCAAGTCACACATACTCGCTCGCTCGCTCGCTCGCTCACTCACTCACTTACACACACATACAATATTGCAATACGTTTGCACTTTGCTGACCAGTTTTGACGCAACTTTTTGTATTTTATTATTTACTACAAGACTAAACAAAAAATTTTAAATTTTCATCTAATAAAAATGTAAAACACAAAATAATTTAAAAGAAACTTAACAGAGATATCAAAAAAAAATTTCAACATAAAACAACTCAGATTTCATATTTCAAAAATCAATTTGGACAATAGAAGATTAAGTTGTTTAAACTTGCGCGCTAGAGAGTGTATACAATATAAAAAGATATATCACAATACGTTTCTTTTGTCGTTTTTCTCAATTACAAATTAGAAAATAACTATTCAACGTAATAGCAGATTTCTGTGACTCTTTTATGCTTCAAAAAAAAAAAAAAAAGATTAAACGTATATTGCGTGTTCTTTTTGTTCACGATTAAAGTCACAATATGTTAATCTATCGTTTTCTCAGAAATGCGAGTTTTTCTCTCACAGCGATATCAATTGTTTTTTTTTTTTTTTTTATTTTTTTTTTTTCCACAACAAAAACCCAAAGAATTACGAATCAAGGAGCTTTTCTCATTCGAAAATCGTAAAATTCTCCTCGTTGAGAGTCGAGAAATTGCTCATGTCACGGAGTGTGATTTTCAGTGTGTCGGTTAATAAATTGTTAATATAATGTCAAAAATAAAATAAAGATATTTGCACGTGAGTAACTAAAGTTACTTCAAAATATGTACATAACTTACAAAACTACAGGAACATTTGTCGCGTGGGTGTTTCGAAAACAATTTACAAAGATTTTTTTTTTTTTTTTTGGCTTTGTTGCGTGAGAAAGGCCCCTTAAACGTCATCCGTGTGTCTTTGCGACACAATATGTGAGACGTCATCGACCGCGATGGGCGCAATCACTAAAGTCCTAGCAGAATGCTTTGTAACCGGTTATAGATAAGAAGAGCGCCCCTTTGTTTCGTTTTTATTTTGCCGTAAAACTTACTCGGGAGTTTTTGTGGCGGGATAAAAATCGCATACTTATTGTTGTACGGTAGAAATGAATTTGGTCCTCGATCGTGACGAAATACCAAAAAATCTTTCACATTTCGAACGAGACGCAACTTCCATCTTCGCGGTCGTAAACGTCTGGGCATTGATGTGCCTTTTACGCGTATCCTTATAAAACGTGTTCTATTTTTTTTTCCTTTTAGGATTGATTAAATCTTTCTAATGGTCCAATGTCGCGTGCTATCGCCCCATTTTTTTTTTTTTTTTGTGTATTTACGGTTCCACGTTGATAGACACCGACCTGGACCACATCGTGCGAACAATCTCCACCAGTAACACCGATCAACATCAGTTCAGTTAATGAATCTTATTTTTCAAAACCGGGGAAAGAGTTCGTGAAGAATTTTCGAATCAAAAGTTGCGAACTCGCGACCAAGCCCAAGGGGCACGCGACGACTTTTTCTTCGTGACAGATCGCACGCGTCGTGCAAGCATCACGTCGATTTGACGACTCTATGTGATTTCCAAATGAAAACGGTCGAGTCTCTCTCTCGGAGGTGCTCAAAGCCATGCTTGAGACCGCGGTGTTTGTGGAGATCGTCGCACGGAAAACGGATGACGACTGCGAACGGGAATATCGTTTGAACATATATATGTTCAGCGAAATAATTCCGTGTGCGGGGGAGCTGCTTCTGGAAATGTACACTCTCCTTCTCTCACGAAAATTTTGAAAATATAACGTACAACGTTAAATACACAGTATAACATTCATTTTCTCTAATTAAATTAATTGGAACAATGTTCGCATTCGCAGCCTAAAATTGGACGTACAGTGAACAAACGAACAATAAATGCGAGTTTTTTCTCTTCTTTTTTTTTCTTTCCACCGTTATCTATATTACTTTTTTTTTAAATTACTTTTTGTAAATTATAAATGATCTTTGTAATTCCTTTCTCCCCGTGGAATTTACTGTTTGATTGTTCTCCAAGACACCACGAGGGGTGTTTTTGCCACAGCAAAGTGCTCAGATCACTTCATTTTATTACGCGAATTATTCAACGTTATTTACTCAAGGAGATAAAGTTTAAAGATTTTTTTTTTTTTTTTGTTTTTTTCGAGTGAACAGAGCTTCGAGAGTAAATTGTGCTTTGCGTTCGTTGTTCGTTCACTCGCGATATACATCCATCTCAGTGATAATAACTCTATCCACATGTCTGATACTGTATGTACAATATCACTAAAGTGAAAACGTCAGTCGACGTGAGAGTCGCGCGAGATCGATGCTCTCTTTTTTTCTCTGTTTTTTTTTTTTCCGTCTTCTCTCGAAGGTCTTTCTATGGTCGTTCTCCTGAGCAAGTGGTGTGTTTCTCACCGGTGTCGCGCACGCGACAAAATGGATGATTTTAACTGATGCATGTGGAAGGGGAATTATCCTATATTTGCGCCCTTCCTAAAGGAGATCGATCTACGAACATCGATTCAGCTCGGAAATAAGAGAAGAGAGGAAGATCTTATTTTGGAGAAGTGCAGCACAAATCGAAGAAGAAAGGAATAATTAGGAAGAATGTAAGGTGGAGGGAGAATGGATTTCCACAGCGAACGGCCCGGAAGAGAGTTTTTTATCGGACTGAAGGAAGAGAAAGGAAATTGACGGTGTGTTTTAATTTTTTTTTTTTTTTGTTTTTTGTTTTTTAAACGGTTAATTTGGTCTCAGGGTCCAATTACTCGTGAAGAGTTATTGTATGAAATAATCGGGATGGTCTGAGTCCTTCTCAAACCTCTTCGCCTCCTCCTGCATGCTCTCCTTGATCTTCAAAATGGCCGCCGACTCGGTCTGATCCTGTGAATCAACCAACACCAGGCCGGTTACACGTAAACGATCAGGCAAGCCCATCAACCTTGCCCAAGTGCCGCGCAGCGTCTTTCACCAGCGAGATACTCGCGGGACTTTCGGTACGATCGCGTGTAATTTATTAAATTTTGACGCAACGAGACAAACACGGAGTCTAATAAAAGATTGCTGGATAAATGCGAATAATTTATCACATGTATATATATATATATACATAACATATATATTACATATGTTTCTCTCTTATATAAAAAAATGCATAAGAGACGACATACATAATAATGTTAAAGTTTGAAAAAAAAAAAAAAAAAAAAAAAAAAAAAAAAAAAAAANAATTTACGTCAATCTCTTACTAGGTTTCCAAACAAAGGCCGTGTGATTGTTTTCCAATTTCTCATTTAAAACTTCAAAATAAAAAAAAAAAAACAATGCCGTAAAAGTTAAAAAAGCGTAAACAAACGAAACCGAGAAGTCCTGCGAAAAGAGAAATCCGTCTTCAATCACGTGCGAAAACGCTGGCCGGTGAATACGCATTAAAAGCGCAGCGTGATGGCGGTGCGTCGTGTAGGGGGGGCCGGGCTCGTGAAAACGAAAAAACTCCGTAGGACAGGACACTGGGAGGTGCCGGTCTCGTTGTCGAAGGTCGAAAGAAAATTAGGTATTATGGTATTTTGTTTTTTTGTTCAGGGTGCTCTGACCCACAACACATGGACGTTACGTAAGATAGTGAAGCCCGTGTCGAGCCGAAAACAATATAGCAACAATAATGATAATAATGATAACAACAACAATAATAATGTAACAATAATAATAACATAATGAAAAATTCGCTATCACTGCCTGCCGCCCACGCACGCACACCTCATCGGTTACAAACGACAGATCATATAGTGAAAAAAGATACTTTAGAAGAGAAACTCGACGTGTCGTCCTTCACACACTTATGTTTTTTTTTTCTTTCAGCGGGGAGGATACTTTCGCCGCCTCAGAATTTACTGTCTGTTCTTTATTATTATTATTATTATTATTTTTTCTTTCCCCGAGTCTCGATATATCGCAATCCATCAATTCGCTTTTTTTTTTTGTGCTGCGACGTATCCATGTGCTACAGGTCAGTACAGGCTAGTACTATATACAGCTATCGTTTGTGTTCTCTAGTCACGCTTTCACCGTGTTTCTTGCTAATTAATCGTACAAATATTCAGACAAAGAAACGTATTCAACAAACAGTGCAACATTGAATCAATGATAATGTGTTCCACAGCCGTACAGCGACAGTGGTGCAAAAAAACAACGACTTTCTTGTTCTTAGAGAAAAAGATCAGTGTCTAAGGATCGGCAACAAAAAGTTATTGACACGACTTGTAGAATTAGTGATTTACGTTAAAAAGTAAACACTGACTGTACCAATCGGCTTGTAATGGAACGAACAAAGCGATAAAAGTGAAACACAAAGTGATGTGAGAGTGTGTAATGTATGTTTTGTGTGTTTGTATGTTTGTGTGTGTATGCGTGTATGATTAGCACAAGTGCAAATACACGGAGACAGATAGTTATATATAAATACGATGATAGCCAGCACCCCTCGGATTGAATCGTAAATAAAAAAGAAAAACGCAATAAATCTCAGTGTAACAGGATTACATTTATTGTCTCGATCTCCCCTGGCTTAGGCATAAATTATTAATTATGCTATCGTTCAGCGACAAGAGTTCGGCGGCTTACAACGAGGAATATATCAAAATAAATTGGCATTAAGGGTACGAAAGTGACCGCAAGATCGAAAATTTTCGCGACAATAACTCGTGAACAAATGACAACTGTTCAGTCATAAGAAAATGCTGGTGTCACTGAAGAAACCAACTTATCGCAACGTAATACTTTTAACGCCGGTCGTAAAAAGATTTTTCGTACCCTCAATGCGCCGCTTTATTGAGTATTCTTTTTTTTTTTGTTTTTTTTTTTTTTTTTTTTTTTTTTTTTTTTTTTTTTTTTTTTGTTTGTTTTCATTTTTATTGACTTGGCTGTACGTTCTCGCATTAAAAGGAAAAAAATTCCAAGCGCGTGTACTTTCTTTTCTCCGTTTGACGTATAGGGCTTAACGGCAAGACGTGAACTCCGGGATATCGGCAAGCAGTGCGCCCTGCAAGGCTGTCCTGCAATATCTTTCTCTCGTCGACAGAATGGCTGAATTACACAAGTCAAAATCCACACCACACCAGCTCTATTTACAAGATAAATCCGCCATCTTATTCGACTGTTTACCAAACAATTAACGCAACGTAAAATATTCACGATTGTTATTATTTCGCAACAATCTGATAAGATACTATGAAGCAAAGAACTTCTTCTGGTTTTTCTCTGATAGCCATCAAATTAAATGTTAATTAATCCACGATCCCAGACTGAAATAAAAGCATTAAGAACACTGGAGAATGTTGAGCAAAGTGGTTTTCGGTAAACAACGAGCTCTTTTACAACGAGATAATAATAATAAAAATTTGCAAGCGTCTTGCCGTTGATCCCAGAGCATGCACTTGCGCATACGTACATTCACTCCTTCTTTTCATTCTCATTCTTTCTATCCCTCTCTCTCTCTCTCTCTTTCTCTCTCTCTCTCTCTCTCATCATCCGCACTCTCTCCGTGTATTTTTACATAAAAGTTCCATTAATTATGTCTCTCTCTCTCGACACTATAAGTTAATTGTAACATAACTTATAGCAGCACAGTATAGTCCGGTACTGACCTATAATTCAATGCGGACGGATGGATTCCGAAAATTTTCCTTTGCGCTTCTCACCTTCGTATTTTTATCGTAACTAAAATCTCTTCTCCGTATTTTTTATCTATATATTCGCTGGTTTATAAGGTTCAGTACTCGCACATTTTTATGTATCTATAGTCATACAAAAATATTACCGTTTTTTGCACATATATATAGATATTTATATATATATAAAAATTCTCTTGTACACACATTTTCTCAGCTAATTCATTAAACTATTTTGCAAACCTATTTCGCTTCGCAGTATTATTACGCAAATTGAATTTTGGTTAAATTACCGTTCGATGAAAAAAAAAAAATTAGCTTTTATCGTTATATATGTGTCTTAAGATTAGCTACACCAACGTTTGGAGATGAAACTTACGACCGATTTAATTTTTACGTGATTATTCGATATATTGGTGCTCGACTCAAACATGTGTGTGCGATTAAAAACACGATTAAAAACTAGCTTGTAAAAACGTCTTTTTATCTTACAGCAATAAAGTGACGATATATTTTTTCCTATGACAGTAAAAATTGAGCAAATACGACAAACTTTACATATTTTACATGAGACAAAATAATGAAACTAAGCACGATATTAGGTCACGAAAAACGTTGACCGATTCTAAAAAGATTTTTCTCCTGCAAGAGATCATCGGATTTAAATAGGAACGATTTTTTTTTAATCGACGTAAAAGCGATTAGAAACATCACGATGCGACTTCTATAACAGTTAACCATCCCATAAATTTAAAACTACAACCGACAGGATGCTTGCTCAAACTTGGAAAAATTATTTTCTCCGTAATTGTGTTCGATCGTTAGATAGTTTCGTTAAATAAATTTTATTTATTTATTTTTTTTTTAATTAAATAAGACCACATGATTATATATACATATTTGCTCATTGTATGTGTGTGTATTTTATAGTTCCCTCTCCCTCCCTTCCCTTCTCCTCTCTCTCTCTCTCAATGAAATGAATTAAAAGTCGCTCAAGGTTTTAAACACGTCTGAGAAAACAAAAAAGAGTAATTATACTCTGAAATACAAGATCTGAAGTCTTTTAGCAACGCGTGTTAACTTCTTATAAAATACATTTTGTGTTTCGTGTTTTATATGTTTGTGTAATATGCTTGTGTTCTGTGAGCAAACATGTCATTTCGTAAATCTCGTGAATAAATTATATATATATATATATAATTAATATATATATATATATATAATAATATTAATAATCGCAAAACGCAAAAAAGATAAAACTTCTGTGCAATGAAATCGAAACTTGCTATTTCCATTGTAAAATCGTGTAATTCATAAATATGTAAAACTAACCACCGTAAACCGCTATTTTCCACTTACACTTCTTCAGAACGACGAATGACGAAAGTTAAAACCTGTAGTACTGTCTCTCTTTCAAGGCAAATGTGTACTTTAAGCGAGTAAGAGGCAGTTTAAACCAGAATAGTCCAATGTTTCACGTCTGAATTATCCTGACCCTATTCACTAGAATTTATCTCATCGCCAACTTTTTAATGCGATGAAGAAACAAGTCAACGGATATAAATCGGCAGTACGTTAAAAACCTGATATATAGTAAAAAAAAAAAAAAAAAAACGTAAAACTCTATTAGTAGTTATACGACAGTAATCACAGTAGTAGTCAGTTATATACGTGTAGGCGTAATGTTATGTGTGATGTGTTCATTAATATAAATGTTTGTGTTGTATATAATATAATATGTGTGTGTATATGTGTATAAAACTCTTGTGTAACAACCCTTTCGTAATTTTGTTCAGGCACCTTTTCTTAACAATTTAAAACTGACAAATAAATATTAAAAAATAATCTGATAAATCTTAAGTAGACGTAACCTATTTTTCGTAGTAAATTCTAGATAGTTATAAAAAAAAAAAGAATGATGAGAGAGAGCGAGAATATAAATATATATATATGTATATATATGTTTAGTCTTGCAACCCTCTGAGTATTGAGAGAAAGCATATATGTATATCCTTACGCGACGTGGCATAAATGTGTACAAATAATAGTTGCTCAAATATCAGCGCCATTTTAAATATTAGCAGTTCATTAAATGAGCGCTTAAACGTTATAATTCTAATCGAATAGAAGCAATCGATAAGACGGTTGCACGTTACGTTGCGTCTGACACGAGTATCTTTTTCTGTTTTCTTTTTTTCTCTTACTTGTGCTAACAGCTAGCTTGAACCATTGACGAAACTACATGTGCCGGACTACAACAAAACTAGCCAGAACGCACCATGGAACACGTGAATACGCAGCGAGTCCGCGTACGTTGTTTTTCCGCACTATGTGTATATAACCGGCACACCAACGTGTAGAGTCTACGGCATCTACGAACTCGGGGCTGGCTCCAAGGCGACTTGACTTTTTAAAAAAACTGTCGAGAATACAGAGAAGGTGCACGTACGTAATTACTACTCATTCTTTTCGGCTCGTAAGGAACATCCGCGACATCATCACTTCCGGATTATGATGAATCTTCACGAATTTTGCAGGATAAAGTAAAAATTGATATAAAAAAAAAATGAAAAAAAAAAAACAGAAAAAATTACATAGACTTCTTTGTTACATAATATATGTAGCAATAGAGACTTGACAAAAACATACATAATTATAAACTCGTACAAAGTTTTTGATAATATTTTTAAAGATGTAAAGAGAACACACGTTAGAAAATAATTCGAATATCAAAAACATTGTATACAAATAAATATATATAAAAAAGTATATTGTTATGATATTAATCTCTATAGAATATATATGTAACAATCATAATTTTTCTTATAAAAAATTTACATAATTATTATTTTTCTACACAATATATGTTGTTTGAACTGTTGTTTCTGTAGAAGGAAAATCCTTGTGTAGCTTATCGTCGTAAATATTTTATCGTGCAAATCAACAAAGTTCCAACAGAATCGGAAGCGAAAGCATCGTGTCAGTTCCTTTCTTTTATATCCTACTAATAATCTTATACAACATATAAGATTAGCATGTAAGATCACTTACGCGATTCAATCAAAGGTTCAATTACTTTGTCGCACGAAAGTAATTTGGTACTTTTTATCTCATAAAGCATGCAGAAACAAACTTTCTCTTGACGAGAGAGAAAGAGAGACGTATAAATTTATATCTCATATACATTATCTTCTATGTACTGAATAAACATAAGTAACAAAACATTATAATATTATAAATACTAATATATCTAATTCAATTAAATACGATATATTTCTGTCTGCTTTATAACTGCATCGTTAGACAAACTGTTAGTGCGATAGTAGTTAGACGCAATTTCACAGCGAATACAGTTATGACAATATTAGATGCGACCATGTGTGACGATGATTAAATTTACCAAAATACCATGTAACACGTGATTAAACAAAACACCTTTCGAGAAATTTATAAGGACAAATGATACTCTGTAAGAAAGCATTAACAAGCCTGTTGGAGCGCGCAAGGCTAAGAATAAATCCCTTAAACGTGACTCTCTGAACCCATTATTTTATAGCAAAATACGTGAATATTCGCCGTATACTGATAGAAGCGCTTGTGGCTGTTAATTGAGATGATAATTAGAAGGGTAGTAAGTTATAAAGTGGATCCGTATGCCATGAGGCACGAAAAAACAATAAATATAAAAAGGAATAATAGTTTTAAGATAAATCAAGAGATTCAAATTGTGATAGAAAATCGATAAACGAAACAAGAGATTTACCGAGCGAATACGTTGACATACAAATCCACAACAACACGTCGAGTAATCAATTGAGGAAAAAATCGTTAAGTGCGGTGTGCATACTTACATTCTCTCCAGGAGCTCCGAATCCACCAAGATTATAATCACCCATTCCACTGCCGCTATCTTCCCGTGGTGTTCCAGGACCGCCATTCGCCGGGCTGTTTTTCATTCCGTCGAGACCGTCACCGTTTAGTACCGGACCCATTGTATTAGGACCCATAGGACCCATTGGACCACCTTCTGGTCCGCCGCTCATTGGAAAATCCTGAAATATATTGTACATAGGCGATATCGCACATGCATTTTCTGATATCGCGTTTTTTACATAAATTGTTTAAATACTTTAATTGTGGTCCTTATCTAACTTTTCTTTATTTCACGTGTACTACATTTAATTAATTACTTACACCTGGCATGTTTCCTCCAGGTACAGGCTTCATCATGGTGTACATGTTTTCTCCTCCGCTGTTGCTGCTATCTTGTGGACTAGGCATAATAGGTGTGCCGGGTCCTGGTGGACCTGTTGATCCGGGTGGTCCTCCATAATTACCCGGTGACGAGGACGAATAGTTCATAGGCTACATATTATTATTAAACAAAATGATGGAACATTATATTTTTTAAACTTGTATATTTAAAATAAAAGTAAATGTAATCAAGTAAACGTAGAATGTGTTTATCCATACCGTGGATGTGTTTGGTTGCCATTGTTGTCTACCACCAGGAGCAGCCATACTCATTGGTGGCATTCCAGGCCCTCCTGGTCCACCTGGGCCTAAAGTACTGTTGGGCGGTGGACCTCTCATACCGGGACCGTAACTTCCAGGACCCATCGGACCCATGCCTGGACCTCGTGGAGGATTCATTCTCGGATTCATCGGATTCATGCCCGGTGGACCTAAGATACGAGAATGAATTCAATATACTCGATTGTATACAAAGAACTGTTAACGTTTGTTCTAGCTTCATGTTAATTGCTAATTACGATCTTGTGAACTAAACATTGATTAAATCGTGAACTTGTATAGGTGCTACGATGTAATAAAGTAATAACTTGCGTGTAAGAATGTGCTTTATTGTGTGCAATATGACATTAAATGTGGGCTCAAAGCGCCAAAATTGAGAGTCAAAGCTTTGGCAAAGACGAGCTCAAGATAAAGCTGGTGGATGACATGCCTAGAGCAACTGTCACCACACAAATTAACACAGTGAGAAGCTCATGCTTGAAGACAGAAACAACATTGCACACAGTACGATATTAAATTACATATTTTATTATTTAGATCACTTTGAAAAATGAAAAAGCACACAATTCTCTTATTGACTGTTTATGTTAAATGTTTTCGCGCGAGTTATTTCGTACATATAGATGTGTATAAAGCTATCTCTTCTCTATATTGTAACAACCAGTATGTATAACAGTTAAAGATGCAGATTATAAGTAATATGATGAATGTTATTGCATAGAAAGAAACATATATGCAATGATATTAATGAAAATTTACTATAAAGATACAATTGTTAAACGTATGATCAGCCTATCATTTCCATCAGCATGATATCAATGTGCGAAAATTTTCCTTTGACATTGGATGCTTTTATGGTGGTATCAATTTAAAACTAAAACATAACCAGACACCTATATTAAACTTCACTCCAATATAACACTTTGCACATTAGAGTTCTTCTTTAAATCACAGAACAATGATATCACAGTATTGTTTATATTGCGCGCACAAATTTTTTGCACACAAATCACGTAAAAAGATGTCTCATTTGTGTTATATATAATTAATATATACAATTGCGATTGTCATGCTGGATGCTAGTTCGGATGAGCAAATCATTTTGCAAAAGAAAAACAAAGCTGGTGCAATTACATTTATAATGAAAATGGAAATTTAAAAAAAAATTCATTAAAAAGGCAAGGAGGAGAAAAACTGAAAGTTAGTTTTGACTAAATTATGTGTGAAATTTGGTTGCTGGGTTGCTTCCTACCTTGCCACCCTACAAATTCTCCAGCTTCGCCTGAGGAACACAAGAGCACACATTAGTATGGCAGGTAGGTAAGGTCGGGTTTATGGTGATACAATCTAGTTATTTTGCAGTGGTATAGCTACAGAATTATTCTATTCCAAATTTCTATGATCTTTAAAACGTTTTTGTGTATTATCGAAACACTTTTTATTTTGAGTCTCTCTTTTAGAAGCTAATCACACATCGCTAATAAATCACATCGCGTTTATGTATGTGTTAATTAAATGATGTAACTATATATCAATGTATGTGCCTAAATCACTTGCTACATAAATTTATAATATACTAAGAGAATAATGTAATAGTTCATATTAAATTTTTTTGAGAGTAAACTGCGAGAGATTTCAGACGCTATTTTCTAAAAAAAAAAAAAACATCGCACGCATTATATGTAATACGACAGCATGTTTAAATTGATTGAGAAAAATACAAAAACAAACTTATGTGTAAAAGCGTGTATGTATATATATATATATATATTAAAATAAAACATTAGAGAACCATTAAAATACATATTTACATACTAATTGCACAAAACTGAATATCTAGCAGTAACAATCGAACGCAAACTACACCACTGCTTATAACTAGATAATTCAAAAACCAATCCACTCCACATCACAGCAATCCAATCCAATTTGAAATATTACTCGTTTAATCGTTTATTGCTGTGTGGTTTTTGGTACGCATGCGTCTATGCCATTCTCCTCTCGCAATTCTTGTCAATGCCAGAAAAAGGTAATGTATAACACCGGCATATAAATGATTTCTTACCTTGCCTAGTAGGATCCATGCTATTTGGCATCATCGGTTGCCCTGGTGGCTGGAAAAAAAGAATACAAACATATTATAGCACAATAAATATATATATTTTTTCATTTTTTATATATATAAGAATTACAAAATAAAACATTATTTTATATATATGACTGTTACTTATTGGATAATTATCATATTTTTGATACAAATAATTAACTAGAAAAAAAAAAATCAATATAATGCTTACCCCATTGAAATCATTTCCCATTTGTGGCATACGTACTCCGGGTCGTGGTCCTGCTGGATATCTGGGACCCATGAACTGCAATAGAAAACAGATTCTCATAATTTCGACAGTACGTCGTATGTTTATTTGTAATTTGAATCGAGTATTCATATAAAAGTCATAAGTAACTATACACAAAGTTGACTAGATATAGTATAAATACCAGGCAGCCACAATAAGCAATCCGTGAGATGATAGGCCATAAAATATGCATTTCAGTTCATCGCAGCACATTAGTTGGTTATATCATTACACATGTCTTTAAGCACTTTTTGGCAAACTATGTGTACATGGGTGTGTATATGTGTATGTTGATTGTAAATTGTTTATCATACACCATAAATATAATTCCCCCCCCCCCACTCTATATATTGTAATTTTTTTCAATATAAATTTTTTTTGTAACAATCAAGGAAAACAGTCACAGCGATTATATGTGATGATCATCGAGTTTTTATAATACCATGATATGGTGCGATGACACAGCGGAACAAGTGATTCTTTATGAGTGAGAGTGTATGTGTTGAATGAGGCTTACCTGAGTGGACATCATCTGCGAGTGTGGGGGCGGGGGTGGCTGGGGGTGCTGGGGAGATGGCTGTGATGAGGGGTGTGTGGGCGGAGATGGTCGCATTGTCGAGTTGTTCTGCAACAAGCAACGCAAACGACAGACATGTAGCAACACTGCGATCCAGGCAACAGCTAGACTAGAAGGCTCTTTGGGGATGATTGTGTTAATAACTATGGTTGATCTCTCAGCATCTTAAGAGATATACGCGAAAAAGTTGTAATTAGGAAAACCGATTAAACAACGTTTCAACGTTTATTTTTCTGGATCTTCTTTTCGTAATTACAACTTGTTTATATGTGAAATCGCTTCTAAACACTAAACTGTGAAAAAACGAGACATACAAGAATACGAGAGAAATATACAGCGTTATAGAACATAAAACGACTTCGTTAAAAGAGAGATGTGTCCTAAGCATTACAGGACATTTATATGTTAAAGAGATACAGAGAAAGACATTCTCTGCATTGTTTATATACTGTAATATTTTATCTTTGTCTAATCTAGTAGGGGACGGCTACTTTGACAAGCAACAGAGATGCATAAGTTTTTTCTTCTTCGTTTTTTCTTTTTTTTCTTTTCCACATATATGTCTTATAAATAATTTTTATTTCATAGTTTTAATTTATTTGGTTTTCGTACAATATATATAGATAAAGTCGCAACACAAATATGAATATACTCCATTAATATATCTTTCAATGATGTCAAATATATATTTTGCTAACGAGTAAAAGAATATACACAAACGAAAATATTAATTACTTTAGTTTACAAAGACACAAAAGTGAAAGGTTTCTTTCTGTTCTGTTTATATAAGGTTTACAAATGTTATACAATATTATTGAAATTACATACATAATTACGATTATTTTATTTCTACAACTGTGTTTTTACATAACATCTTTCTTTTTAATTATTGTAAAATTCATTCTTTTCAAAAAAAGTTTTATGACAGTTGAATTTCTGAGTATAGTGTGAAGATATCGTGGACCACACTATATATAATAGAAACTAGACTACATTCTCTAAGCAGGCTTCCATGTTAGTTGTCCCATACATTCTAGAGTATAGCTTCACTGGTTATGTAATCCAGTAATTGTTAAAAACTGTATTTTGCATCTACAGTATATACATATACATATATATACTATGTGTTTATATTTGTGCATATTCTTACATGTAAGTGTTACATGACCAGCATAAAGCAATACTCGTAATATGCTTGATATGCTGTATCACAATATTGTGCTACAAATGTAGTCTAAGATCTATATATAGTCCTGTTTTTTTTTTTTATAGAATTTCTATATTTGGTTTATGCGCCAAGGAGATGAAACAGTGAAAATGGTACAAGAACGCACATACAAGTATTATAGATAGAGAGCAGAGAGAAAGTAAGTACATATATACAGTATAGACAAGCATGACATAAGAACGTTTTTTTTTGTTTTTTTTTTTTGGAATGTACACTTGTTTCAAAACGAGATGATCATGACTACAGAGCTAGTTGTGTGTACATTTAGTAATAGTATGAAATATGAAAATACATATAAAAATGCCAGGTTAAGATGTAATTATGCATTATGTAAAAAATGTGTGTACGACTGAAATAGAATAATAAATTATTTTCTGGAGATAAAAAAATATACAAGAGTCAGTTGTGCTTCTTGTCTACGTACAAATCTGTTAAAAATATTAAAAGTGGCATTTCTAAGTACTTTTTAAATAAAATGTAAATATATATTCTGTATTTAATAGCTACTTTCTGTGTTTCTTCTCTCTTTATATATACATACATACACATCAACACACATATATATGTATATATACATTATCCAAAATTTGATTACAATCTTTATTTTAAGTTAGATATGCTTTTGAATCAAGTGTAAATTTTAAACAAGGGCATATATGCATAACAATAACAAATATAGGACTATGCATATATATATGTGTGTATATATATATATATAAACGTATCAGAGATTAATAATTCTACTTCACAATTATTTTAATTTTAATACTTTTTTTATAAAAGAATTACTATTCTTTCTCCTCACTTAAAGTTCGTTATAACATCTAAAAAACGATTCAATAAAATAATAAAGATTCACATAAAATTTTAATGTGTGAATCGTTCAGTGCATAGAAAGCCAGTATATCGCAAAACTTTAATATACCTATTTTAAATATGGCAAATAATTTGAAGTAAATAACTGTTTTTTAAATCTTTTTTATATTGTAAATATAGATCGTAGAAAACAAGTGATATTAAGACAGAATAAGATGATATAAAATAAGTAAAAACACTCACCGGGAAGAAAGCAGGAGGCATGGGACCGCCAGGCATACCATCATTTGGCGGCATCTGACCAATTGGAGACGGAGCTGGTCCAGCATTCTGCAAACAGTTCACAATATCTAGTCTCGATATGCTTTTTGTTTTATTTTTTTTTTAATTTTATAACAAAACTTTTAAATTATAAGCAACTAAAACAACTCTGTGCACATTATCTATATTATATTTAAACTACAGCTTCAAACTTATTAGTTTGCACCAACATCTGCATTGATTCGTACAAGTATTATTTGATTTCTTGGTTTAATAATTTTTTACGTGAAAATAATACATATAAGAACGTACTGCAATAATTAATGTTAAATAATTAAATGTTAATGGTTTAATTATTTAACATATCGCTCGGAAAAGGTTCGTTACATATGCTTAATAAACAATGACCGGGTTAAACAAAACGCAACTATTGTGCGAGAGTTTATAATTTTCTGCTGAACAATATTAAAACGCTTTGTTTTCTTAGACAGATACTTTTAAGAGTTAACAAAACATTTCAAAACTCTTTCGCAACGGTTGCGTTCTGCTGGGCTCGGTCATTGGCAAAACCTTTTCAACTTACATGTGCAATTCCGTTGACATTGTAAGCACTGTTTACAAATCCCTGTCGACAGAACACACATTACATATAAAATGTCATGTTGCAAACACACAAATATGTCACAAAACGTGTGTTTGCATCTCTACTGTTATTACATATAAATAATAAACTTCACTATATATCTAATTTCTTTTCTAGTACTTTTGACACTTACATAATCATGAAACGCTTTGGCCTCACTGCTATGTTCGCAACTATCTCTTCTTTCAGGCGCTGCACAATACAAATCCCAAAAGACACTAGAAAAATTTTACAAACAATTGTGTTTACACATCACGTGACATTCTTCCAACATCAATATAATATACAAATCTCTTTAAAAATAGCAATGGCATATTTACCACCACCAAGAATGCAAAAATCCAGGAGGTTCTCCAAGTGTGATGTTTTTCTCCCATCGAATCTATAAAAATATAGCATAGCAAAAGAAAATATATATTATTTTGAGAGAGAAAACAATGACAAAAAATATGAAGAAAAAAAGATGGTAAATTACAAATTACCTCAGAGAGGAATGTTTGTGCAGCCTTCTGAGCACCTACATGTAGTAAATATTCGTACACGTACAATGCCAATCTGTAAAGATTTTACACAATATTATATACATACGTACACATGTATAAAACTTGTTATAGACGCGGAGAAGTTTAAAAACCATGTGTCAACTACGTATAATGTACAAACTTTAAAAACGGCAAAGGATTCATATACAAAATGGCGGGTTATGCAAATTGCAAGGTACTCTTTAATTTTTTTTTTTCCTACTTTTCCGTTGTTTTAGAAAGTCCGTACTTAACTCTATAAAATCGTTCTTTCTCTCTTTCTCTCTCTCTCTCTCTCTCGTCGACACACACAATCGCATTTCCTCACGAGATCATTGGTTAAACGCTGACTTTCCCCACGTAGGCAGTAATGCGCGGTAAAATGCATCTAGCGAAATGCATCGCAGGCCACGGAGAGACCGGCTTCGCGCGAACGATAGAAACATGGCGCGGAATTACGTCGATTCGCGAATCGGAGCGCGTACTACTACTACCACTGCTGTTGCTGCTGCTGCTGCTGCTACTGCTACTACTACTCTGGCACGATGACTGACAGCGGATCAATCGCCTTTTACGAGAAAGCGGGTTACCAGTCGCGAATCTCGGCTCCAGCTATTTCTCAGTCGGTCGATTTCATTTCCCCATTACGCGATTTTCCAGAACCTCCTAAATTCCCTCTTTCCGTCCGCATCCCACAACCATATCGTCCCAGATATTTATTTCGCGTTGAATTTTGTCAAGATTAAAAGTATAAAATACGACGACAATATCTTGTCAATCGATACTTGCGGTAAATCGCGTGAATTTTCGTCGCAATTTACATTGCAATTGGAAAAACAACATTGCCAGAATTTGCGAAAAAAACTTTGACAGTTCGGAAACAAACACCAGTAAAAAGTGTGTTGTCTTGAATTAAATCTCTCTGTAAATTTATTTTATATTCTGACATGATGAATTAAAATACCAGGTTTAATTTCGTGCGTTGGAACGTTAAAGATTTGATTTTTGAAAGAAAAAAATAAAAACAGGTGCAGCTGTTACATTAAATATCGTATTGTGTCATACTATAAATAAACAACGGACTGATAACAACTCAATCGATTATTTTTTGGAGTAAAAAGTAATTATAACCTATATCTTTTCAAATATCATTCGATTTGTGCAATTTTCTCAAAAACACCGCCTGTGCATTTCGAATGCGAACTTGCGCGCAGCTCGTTTCGCGCCATACGACCCCTGTGTGCGTGTCGATCGAGAATCGAGATTCGAAACTATCTTCGAATAATATGACCCGCTCTCGCGACAATGTCATCCCGATTTCGCCAAAACTTTACGAATATCTGCCAAGTTTTCAATTACCAAGGTGTCAATGTTTCCAGTTCCTCGAGGAGAAAAATAGACAAAAAGATGATAAACGAAATCGTGATATTTGAAGAAATCGGACAGAGAAAGAGCAAGACGAGGAAACAAATCGGCAGCTCGTCGGTAAACTGGATGTTCAACCCGACGAACCGGGTTCTCGAGTCGCGATGTACGCGCGTTACACGTTCCGAGCAAAAGAACCGGCAGCAGTAACACAGGAGGGAGGAAGAGAAGGGGGAAAACAGACCTGAGCTCGGATGGAACGAGGGGGACCAGGAGACACGGGAGGGGGAGTTCAGGAGGATGGTCGGAAAAATGGAGTTACCGAGCGATCAATGGCTGGTAGAATTTTCATGACCCGCGAAACGCTGATTTTTTTTTCTCTCTCTCTCTCTCTCTCTCTTTTGTTTCCCCGCACACATACATACTTTTCTCTCGCTTGAGAGTCCGAGGGCACTGTCGAACTTTTTCCTTTCGCATACATGGTCGCCGTGGTGGCCGGTCGATCCTTGAAGCGAAAACACACAAGTGCGCCGTTGCTCCGTCCTTTTAGACGAAAATCACGCGAATAAAGAAAAAAACAAAACTAATAAAACAAAAACAAAAAAGAATAAAAAAACGACAGATCTACGTTATATACGCGGTTGTCGTGTTTTTAAAAGAAAATCAACAGTTCGTAAGTGTGTAATCTCCTCGCTCTTTGGTGCCGAGAGCAACGACGACGTTTCAATGTGTCGGCCGATATGACGTCCAATTCGTGTCAAACAAATCGCGACGACAAACCGAGAAAGATGTAACACACTACGCGATGCGCTTCCGATCTCACCGTTTTCTCTGTCTCTTTTTCTTTTTATTTCTCGCTCGCACCACGCCGCGAGAAGTCCGAGAGAGATGAAGTTCTCTTGTTCCTTTACTACGTCACTCCCGTCTCACTCGCACTTTACTTTAGCTCGTCGCACACACAGGACAAGATGAAGGTCTTCTCCGCGTCCCGTCCCGCTTTCGTCGCGCCGCGTCGCGTACGTCACGAGAACACGTCGCGCGTCACAGCAAGATATTACTTGCTGCCCCCGACACGCTCAAGCGATACGATAACAACGCACGACGTCGTCGTCGTCGTCGTACGTTCAGGTGCGTCGCTGAGGGCGCCTCGTCGCCAGCACTGCTGCCGCTGTTGCTGCTGCCGTCGTCGCCACTGGTTCAAATGCCGACGTCCTCATCGTGTTCATCAACCGCACTTCTTTCTTCGCGCGACTTTTTTTATTTCTTTTTGTACAATATCACGTCTTTCCTATCGTCTTCATTCGATCACAAACACACTAAGCTAGACGCACCAATGACACCGTTATCGTCGACCTCTCACTTCACTTCTTCGCATCGCTCCACAACTTCGCGCTCGGCCGTTCTTGGCCGCTCTCGTCGCGCCTCTCCTCGTCCCGTCTCGCCTCGCCTCGCCTCACCGTCACGTATCGCGCGCCGAGAGATCGTATCAAAAAAAGATCGGACCACGAACCCTCCGTGTTGTTCTGGTCGTCGTCGTCGTCGTCTTCTTCGTTGTTGTTTTTGTTGTTGTTGTTGTTGGTGTTGGTGGTGCCGCCGCCGCCGCCGCCGGATGCGGCTTTCGTCCACGACGGATCTCGCTTTGTCGCGATCCGCAAGCGTCTCGTTACACGGGAACGGTGTATCACTGTGGCAGCCGCACACTCTACATAACACATACGTGACCAGTGCGCGCATACGCACACACTCGCGTGATCGACACGCATACACCCGGCGCAGTATAGGAGCGATAGAGCGGGAGAGAGACGCGCACGACGCGAGAGAGGAAAGACGGGAACGAACTGAACTTACTGTCGCGTAAACACGAGAAACTTCGGAAGTGCGACTCGTACAATTCCAATTCGCACGCGCTGCACCACTACATGCGAATGATCAGTGTGGGTAGGTAGGATACGCGCTCCCCTTCCCACTTCAATCGTCATCATAGCGCTCTGTCTCGCGCGCTCCTTTCTCTTCGCTCGCTCCGCTCTTGCTCGAGTCCTCGCTGCACCGACGCGCCATCTTCGTCAAACTCGCGTTTACATCGGCGGTGCGCGCGCATCGCCGCTTTTGTGCCAGGTCCGTACGTTGGGACTATAAGGGAAAAGCACCTCCCGCCTTTCTTCAAAACGATTAGTTCATTTTGTGTACGCAGGTAAATCGATAATCGCGTGTTATTGGATATTAAACAAACTGTTATTGTTGAAACAACGAAAATGATTTATTTATAACATTCACAAATATTTGTACACGCTTACGTACTTAGTAAGATATAATTGTGTGTTGCGCAAAATAGAAATATATATGCGGAACACAAAATTATAAAAAATCTCATTTGGCGAAAGTCTCTCGTCAAACGAGAGGCCGATCTTTATTGCGTTTTTTTTTTTTAATTTTATAGAGAGGTAAATTGAATATTTTATATGCATGAGATGCGAATTAAGCATCTCAGATGTGACTTAACGAATTGAATTCCACTTGAATTTTTACTACAAGTACTAAAATTTGAACTTTGTTTTTGTTTTAGAGAATTTTGATAAAGAAGCTCGCCCGAATGAGACGAGTGAATCTTGGAAACGTGGTGCGATAACTTGAATGAAAGAAGCCCCGCTTGAATTTTTTCGCTTTTATTTTCAATTTTATTTTGTGAAAGTTACGTATACAAGATCACTTCTCTCATAACATCTAGAACCTGTTTCTAGACACGTTTCTTTCTAAAAAGAAACAAATCTCTTCTCAAAAGAAGATAAGCACCCTGAAGAAAGTTGGCGCTGAACGTTCTCTCTCTGCCTGAAATCAGCTTTCATGAAAATCAGCTCGCGTGTATATATGACGAAAACTTCCCACACACGTTAAATTGTTTTTCTCAGTCGTAAACAAATTAACAAATTAATATGTACAATAGTTTTTTATTTCCAGTGTGTTTTTTTTCATGCAACGGAAAGATCACAACATATTTCTGTGTGTGTGTGTGTTTTCCGCCCGCCTTGACTTGTAAATTTTTCGGGCGTGTTTATTAGCAGCGCCAGTGTTGTTGTAAGGATGCACAGAGCGCAGCGCGAGCTATGCGCATTTTTTGCGCGCGGCAGGACATTCCGCGGAAAAAAAATGTTGCCCGTCGTCGAGAGACGACGACCGCGCGCTTTGCGTATCACGGCGAGAGATGGGTGCAATATCGTGCGAAATCGCGCGGTTAAAAAAACACGCCGATATTGGGATAGGTCGATACTTCAAATTGCAATAAAGGCGCAGGCGTAAAACAAGCGAGAAACTACACGCAACACGTCGCCGCGGCACATTGCCGGATAAAGGACGAAGCTGTCCCAAAAAAAGGGACCCCGGGAGGGGGCGGAGGAGGCAGGGAGGAAAACATTTACGCCCGCACTCGGCACAGCACTGGCGCGACCGCGCGTCCGATTGGACAGCGACCGGTGCACACACGGAGTGTATAAGTAATATATACACGATGTGCGCACACTATGTTAAGTACTATCGGCGTGCGTACAGTCGACCAACAACGTCGACAGCCGCACAAGGAAGGCGGGGGAGGAGGTTAGATTGCCGCGGTTGCGGGGGTGTCGGGGGAGAGAGAGACGGTGAAGAGCGGGGCCCGATTGTGCCCGAGCGCCGGCGGACACGTCCGATGCGAAATAGTCGACAATTGACGCCGATAGAGAGTTTGGCGAGAGGGTAGCGGCGAGCGAGGAGAAGGCAACGCTGTTCTCTCGGGTGAACCGCTTCCCCTTTTTCAATTTTATCATGCAATCGACGCGGTTATATGTACATATCGGAACGACGGCGTCGTCGTCGTCGTCGTCGTCGCTTCGATATTTCGCTTTGCAAAATTAGAGAAAAAAAAACGTTCATGTTGTTTCTCCCTTCGTTGATTCGCCAAAGAAGTCATCGGAGAACACATGCGGCCGCCATTAATCCCTAGCTGAAAATGCATCGAGCTCGCATAGCCCACACACTCGCATTCAGAGAATGTACATATATGGGGCGCGCAGAATATACTGCAAAAATGCCGCATATGTTTTCTTTTATCTTTTTTTATCTCTGTACTCTGGAAGATATTTTTAAAAAACAACGCTTCTTGTTATTGTCGCTTCTTCGATTTTTATCTGAAACTGTTGCAAATTTCTGTTTAGTTCTTATGGACGGGCCAGGTACAGTCACGTGGGAGGAATTCCTCGAAAATGCGCAACATTTTCTTGTTGTTTCAGACGAGATATCCGATGGATGGAAATTCCATGGGAACAAGGTACATAACTTGTATCTACTATGGTGTGAAATCTTTTACTTCGTACGCGAGTATCTGTGTGTACACGCACAACGCGTACATAAGTAAAAATACGTATAAATTGCGTGCGCACCGTACGACATTAGTTAATGACATTTGTAATTACGCGGTTCGTTCATACGTTAAATACACATACACGTGGTATTTAATTATATTTACATACCGTGTGTATTTACACGCACTAAGTACTCACGCGCGTAATAGAAGCGAACACATGAATATCAATACGTTCGATAAATAAGTTCAATTGCTGTCTGTCTGACAAAACCACTTATGTGTAAATATAAATGTTCTTACATTACTGATTATACGTAATAATAATACCGTGTTTAGGATATTCCTGGACAAGCGTATCTGGTTAGAAAAGCGAAGTGCTTTGTATCGTGCGATACCGCGTATTCCGCAGCGAGAAACGACGAATCGACCGGTTTCTTCAACGACAACACCGAGGAATTCTACGTGAAATTTCAGAACGATCCACACGAGGCTCCTTCCACCGACGAAACGTCTCCTCTTATCATCGAGCATCACATTTTGTGGTCCATGAGTTACGGCGTTCCGGTTCTCTTTTTCAACGGTTGGAAATCAGGTATGTAACTCGATCGATCGCGCGTTTTTTATACGCGCAAAAAGTTACACACGCGAAAGAGACATATTGACACAGCATAAACGTTGTTACCAGCGAACGTCCATAATTCCATGTGACGTTCTAATGAGCATCTAATGGAGCGTTACGCGCGAGTATATACATTTATAAAAGCAAGACACTTCAAAGAGACAAATTTTCATTTTCGGTAATAAATTTTCGCTAAAACGCGATGTTCATTAATGCATACATGTTAAAATTTTGCGCGTACAAAATTTCACGGAAATAAACAACCAGTTATTGCGGTTGGCGACGCATTCGTATTTCCTCTGTGTTGCACACGCATCGTTTATTGATTATATAAACGCAAACGGATCCGCCTATTTCAATATTCGTGCAGATATATATATATATATATGATATGTATGTTTCCAATGGTGTAATTAATCTCGATAATATATTTTGGCGGAGCGGAAATGCGTCATACCGTTTGGATTAATTAACACTGATCGCCTTTTACGTATTCATCAACAAGAGGAGGCAATTGTCGTGAGAGACTTGAATGTTCTTTGTCTTTTTTTTTTTTTTACTTTTTTAGATTTTTCCGGCATTAACCCAGTGAGTGTAAATGAGGCTCAAACAGTCTACAGTTCCCAATTAAATTACATGGAATTATCGCAAGCGATTCACCCTGTCGTCGGCACTCCATTCCTGCAATTACACCCGTGTCTCTCGCAAGAATTGCTGCGAAGCATGTCAAAGAGGTGAGAAATGGCACTAAATAATGAAAAAAAGACAAAAGTGATCAATTATAAATAAATAAACGATTAGATAGACTTTTGCGTTTTGAATGTGCGTCTTGTTCTCTCTTTGTTATTGGACTATTGGACTATCTTTTTTGTAAATATGTTGCAGCAAGAACAAACTCGTCAGTTGGCTAAGTTGCGTGGCACCTGCGGCTCTAAATCTCAAAATACATCCGGAATATTACAAGTTGACTTGTTAAAATTTAGCCATCTCAAAAAAATAATAAACATTGAACGATCAGAAAAAGTCTTCATGTAAATATTATTTTAATTAGTTTTAATTAATTTTCGACTTTATTTGTAAAACAAAAGGAGAGAAGAAAACAATAATGTATATTTTACAATTTCAGAAATAACCATTAACTAGATGGCTGTTTATACTGATGATATCCCGGTCTCATGCGCTGTCACTTATTGCATCTCCGCGCGTCTTCTAATGTCTATTTTACGTTTCGAGAGAGGATAAGAGTTTATCTCTTCGTTGGAACTCGTAATACGTGAATTCCAGTCACGTATATTCGATGGCGATGATTCAAATAGAATCCGTTCGCGTAACCGGCGGCGTCGGTGTGGCGGATCTAGCATTGACCCACGGCAGACCGGGTAAATTGCTCGCAATTGGGCGCGTTCGCAAAGAGAGACCGGAGCGTGGAAAAGAGAGCACGCAATTAATGCGGCCGCGCGCGGCAATTAATTTGCACAAGGACAATTTGCGTGCGCGGCCCCGGAATATATTTATTCCCATCAAAAAGAGACGCAAAGTTTTCGTTCACGCACGCACAATACATATAATACGTTAACGCGGATAATCTCTGCTTGCTGCAAGAAAAAGCGCGACTTTTTTTGCCGGCTTCGTTTCCTCCGCGCGAACAGATAACGCAATCGAACACCAGTAACATAATTACGTATGCGCAAATCTGAAAAACTATGCAAAAAGTAGCAAAGCGTTAATTCTATATCTTTTTTTGTATATTTTGCCAGACGTCACAATTTGTATACGATCGCTAGATAAGCGCGTCATTAAATATAATACGCAACGCTCCTGTCTCTCTCTCTTTCTCTCTCTCTCTCTTGCGAGTTGCATTTGCGTATTCGCATCGTACGCATCAGCGATTCTCAACCGAGACAACCCGTCGTGTGTACCCCGGCAACAACGCCGCTGATAATCCCGTTAGGTTTCTTCCATGCCGGGCTCGATTCGTGATGTAGACGCGCGCACGCGTCCATCTCACCAAACACGTGGCACAGGTTAAATTACAAATGCACGATGTTATTCACACGAATGACCTCGCCCTATCGCGCTTTACACGTCGAGCAGAGATATTATTTGCACATACATTATTTACACATATATATTTTAAAACTGATACATATATATAAAAATATATTTGTCTCTATAGAATATTCGGCTCAAATAATTCGTTCGAAATAGATTTTCCGATTACGTGTGGAAAACATTGGAGACAGAAAAATAATTGCAGTTTTCTGCTCGGAATAGAAACGTAGTAATGTGAAGAGCACAAATTTATTTCCACGTTGACAACACGTAAAAATAAATTGTGCAACACAACACGGCATGAAAGGTGAAATCTTTATTCTTTTCGAGGGATTATAAACGCGCGCGCGCGCGCACGCACACACGCGCGCGTTTTATTACCTTCCTCTCCAAGACTATACGAATATAGTATTGCGAGACAAGCAGGTTAGCGATCTCTCGACGCAAACAGTAGCTGCTGGCTCCACCTATAAAGGCAACCGAGCCAAGCCGGAGAGAAAGAACTCATTTTCCGTCGCTCGCGCGCTTTTCGAACGCAAGCTTCGAGCTCAAATTACCCCGCGCTCGACCATCGTCGGCGCTTCTCAATCTCTCGCGTGCGCTCTCGCGAACTGTCTTCGCGCAACGGGAGCGGGAGACTCGTCGAGCCGCGCGCGCGTATCGCAAGTGGTTTCGCGTCTCGACGATCGGGCGACGAGAGCGAGTAAAACTCGTCGTTCTCTCGATTCGCGACACTCGATATTCGACAATTTCGCCAAAAAATCGACCGTAGAAGAAACGAACTGTTGCATTGCTGTGCATCTTTGAGTGGAAAAAGACACGGGCTTGCTCCTCTCGCACGGTATTGCGTCCTGAAAATCGATAAAAAGCGACAGGGAGAAGGGGTTCAATCAACAGATGAGATAAAAAGGGAGAGGGAAATCGAGGCCGGATTTTACAATTGCTCATCGAAACGGATGCTGTGCTATTTCAAATGTGATTGTCTTTTTTTTCTTTTTTTTTTTTTAGGGAGAAAAAGACACGGAAGATACCACGCGGCGGTTCTTCTCTTCTCATCTTTATTTAACAACGCGCTTTCGTCAGAAAGCCGCGTCGATTTTTCTTTCCTCCTCCGGTGTGACGAAATTCAAAACGATATAGTTCAAGGAGAAGAGACGCCAGAACGTCGCGCCCGATATATTACGAATTTCAGATGTGAAGATGATGATTTTATATATCGATCCTCATTACGATGCGTCGTAAGCGGGCACGCACAGGAGTACCACGATGTGACATCTGATTCGTTCGTCGGACGGAAATAGAAGCGGTTGCAGATAGAATCCGGGTGACAATGAATTTGCCATGACGACCGCGCGAACTCGAGAGCGGAAGAGGAGAACGCGGCGGGAGAGGGAAGAGAACGCGAGCGCGGGATATATATCCTCCCGAGGGACGCCACACACGCACATTAACGCACACACGCACGTACTCCCACCCATGTTTGTTGCTAAAGTCATTCACTCCTTTCTTGTCGCAATTCGCGACGAACGTCACCGGTTTTTACCAGACGATACCGGTGATCATCAAGAGATAAGACAAATATATATATACCAACGGACCAAACCGAAAAGAATATACGAAAGGGAAAGGCGCGCGACCTCCTTTCCTCTTCTCATCGGGGCGGCGGACTATTGAGAATATACGTGTAGTTGTGTGTCGAAAGAGAGCAAATCATTATTCCACTCGCCCGTGGATTCAAATCGTAGATGTTTTGTGCGCGCACACACACACACACACACACACACACGCGCGCGCAGTGCGTTGTCGATTTTCATCTTTCTGTGTTCTCTGTGTGCACGTATGTGCACGCTCCCGTCTGCAAACTCCACCCTTCTCTCGCGCGCTTTTCGAACGCGTGGCGTCACACATATACGCGCGCGAACTCTCCGAGAGACACACCATGCTATAAAGAAGCAACTTTACGCCGCACCGCACAGTCTCGCGATCGTCGCCGTGTCGCGCGCGCTAACCGAGTTCTCGTTGTATATTCGGAAATAAAATAAAAATAAAAAAAAAAAACGCGATTAATCGCGCGAGATACTGACGACGACGTTCTGCACGCAGTGCAGGAAACACCGACGCGTTTAGGTAAATTTGTCCGACGTGCGTTTTTCCACGTTTACGCGAACGCTTCTTTCTTTTATAAACGAACAATATGTTTTGCCGGCGATGGACAACGTACTTAGAGCACATACACGCACACGTTGAGAGTAAAATTTTGTTGTTTGAGCGAAACACACGCCCGCGATTATGTTTCTTTATCGAATGAAAACTGTGCAACATGTTTATTTAGCGACAGCAGATGAGATTAGTTCGTGTGTCAGATGTGATTTGCTGCGCGTTCACAGTCCTTGAACATGCTTATCTCTCAATATACACAGAAAAGGTCCGATGTGTCGCGACGTCACACGACGTTAGATCGTCATTTGATGTGACTTACAAAAAACGGATTCACTTGGAAATCAGTTGATAACGCATACACGCACACAGGTGTTTTTTTTTCGAGACGAGAGTAAAAGGTTTTGTTTTCTATCGCTTTTAACATGTTTTTTTTTTTTTTTTTTTTTTTAAACGGCGCGTCTCTCATTCGAGTGTGTTCCGTGAAGAAGTAGAATCTACCTCGTAAATTGTTGGCAAGGATGACGTTTCTCGGCAAATTTTTTTCCTCGTTGCGACGATGAAAACTTGTATACTTGTGTGCATTAATCTTGTTGTCTCTTATAGCGCGAGAGGAAAACTGCGAATAAAAAAAAACCATCACTGTAGCAAGCGCTGACGAAGGCCGCGCGCGCAAACGTTGTGTACAGTTCGATACCTTGATAACGAATGCTCGTGCGAACGATTATGGGTTCGAAGGTTATCGGAATTAATCGAGAATGAGGCAGAGGAGGATTAAATTTGGAGCGAGGGCAACCGTAAGGGACATTTTAGGACCTTCCACTAGTGCCGGATCGTCCCGCGCTTGATTGCACGTTACCACAACGGCGCTCGATGCCGAATCCGCCGGCGCGCGCGGTTAGACCGGGCGTGAAATATACCGCCGATTATTTCCGCACGATTAACCTCGCATATAGTCAATCTTTTCTGTGGCGTTAATTAAAGCTGTCGAACCGCGCTTGTGCACCTCCGCGTGTGTGCAATCGCCGTCATCCACAGTCCTCTCCTGACGTCTCTGACATCTCATCTCGCGATCATCGCCGCGTCGAATTAATCGAATCGGATGAGTGTGACACGCAAATTCGCTTAATCACAACGATCTCGATTACACAAAATTACATTATCCGCAACACACACTCGATTGATGACGATTTATCAATTATCGGCCGGTCGTGATTGAGAGAGCGGTAAGATATAATTTGAGAGAAGAAGAGACCGTGCGATGTTCGATCGCGAATGTGTGGTTGTTCTTTTCACCGATTCATTATCTCGTTTGAGATGTCATGACAGTGCTGTTATTCTGCTGATGACAATAAACGCGACGTATTACGTGATAGATTATATAGTAACGCCTGAGCACGTGTTGAGCTAATTGTGTGTGTGTGCGTGTGTGTCGCCTTACATTTTCATCGATCGGCTCGTTCAATAATGATGATGTTGACCTGTTCATTAAGAAAAAACAAAACAGACATTAAAAATTCGAAACGAACGAAAGAAAAGAAGTGTGACACATCGAATCTGACACAATTCTCGTTAACAAGTCGGCTACATGTGTCGAGGCGCGAGCATCCGTAACATATGTTGCGCGCGTCGACACATCGCCAAAGTAAACGCCAACGAAATCGGATTATGTATTCGCGAGCGGATTTGTTTGCATTTGCGCGCGCGCGCAGAGATACTTGTGTTCTCGGCGCGCGTTACGTAAAAAAACAAGGAACAAACGCGCGGCGGCGATTACTGCTCATTAATATCGTGCGTTCGATCACAAGCCGTATTACACAGTGTTAAAAATAAAAATGCTAAAAAAAAACGTCAATACGCGAAGATACACGCACGTAGTTGTAGTAAAGCTCGGAATGTCGCGCGATTGTCTAACTTTTGACGCGTTAAATTAATTGCTATTAAGAGAATTAATATAAATAACGCGGTTTTTTTTTTTTTTTTTTTTTTTTTTTTTTTTTTTTTTATGTTCTGTTGCAGGTGAGAGGACGAGGCTTAGCAGCGCTCGCCGATCGATCGTGTGTATCACATTTCTGCGAACCTCGACAGAAAGAGTCCGCGCGATTATTCGCGTTTCCAAAATTTATTCGTCGTCGCATCTTCGGCAAAAGTAGTTTTGATAATCGCCTCCTTGTAATATCGTTCCTCGTCGAAGTACTGGACCGGGGACAAAAATTGATTCGAAGCGAAAGAGGTTCCGGACGGGAAGAGAGGAAGGCTCGTTGTTTTCGCACAGCGTGGGACGCGCATACCCGAAACGAGAGTAGAATTGCCGGATCATCATAATCGAGTGGACAAACTGCCGACAAACAATAGGGACCTGGTCAGGAGCTTCCGATGGGGTCGTGGTGCCGTCGCAATCCGCGCCGCGTATATTCGTAATAGTGTATATCGCGATGATAGGCTAGCCGGTGTGTGAAACGGCAGGAAGAGATCGTCGTAGGGGGAGATCGCCATAGCTAATCGTACCACCCAAGGTGGCACAGATTGAGAGCCCCATCAGCATACATCCTCTCCCTGGCTAACGAGATACCGAGCGTGTATCCATCGAGTTGATGCCCGCCACGTCGTATTCGTCGGTGTTGTCAACACTTTTCTGAGAGAATTCTTCTTCTTGGTGAGACGAATCTTCTCTGAATCGCAATCGGAGAATAATCCGCCGCCAGCGGATTAAAATTTAAAAAACGCAAAAGTACCGCCACAATCCATCATCAGGAAAGAAGAGGAGAGTGAATTGATCAGCGCCAGCCGGACGACGTCGAGTAGCGCCTAATCCTTCGCGTTTGTCATCCGCGCATGACCTCGACCTCTTTTATTTCTTTTGTCCTCTATCGTCGCTTCTCATTCCTCTCGACTTAACTCGACGTCACCACCTCGGTGCGTTTACTTCCGAAGATACGACGACGCGACAAAAGGGAACAGAAAAGAGACAGATTCGCTCTTAAGTGCCCCTCCGGTTCATCCGCGGCAACATCCTCTTCCCCATCGGACGCACGCCGCTTCCGGCTAACTGGAAGTGACGCTCTATGTAAACGATTGCCGCCGGTCGGAACGCACAGGACACAGGAAGCGCATCATGGAAGTGGCGAGCGAGCTGTAAGTAACGATTTCTTTTCTATCGTATATAGAAATTCTCACTGTCTTCCTTTTTATTTTGTTATTTCGTTTTTTTTTTCTTTCACATAACGATTATCTCGACGATTATCTTCATTTGCAAGACAAATCTCCCCATCTTGATTTGTCTCATTATCGAACAGAAAAAATTTCGATCGAAACGATTAACAGCGCTTATCACATTCGTGTCGCGGATGTTTATTTCTCTCAATTAATGATGCAATTGCTCTCTTTCACTTGTTTGAATTGTATATTTAATTGTATTAACATGACAAACTACACGTATATCATCGCCCGACCGCTGATAAACATGTGCGACACGTGTATCGGTGATAATCTTTGCTCTTTACATCTTTTGACCCAGTTTCCTCCGGAATTCAGTTCTGTTCCGCGTAAGAATCGCGCAATTTTTGATAAGAGCTATCGTCAGATTCGGCAATGTAAAAAAATAATAACAGCCGCTTATTGGAACACATGTGCTTGCTTTCCGACATTCGAGAAATTCGAGAAAAAATTTCGATTTCTCGAAGGCTGTGCTTTGTCAGTGTGCGACTAGCACCTTTTTAGGATATATCTCTTTTTTTTTTTTGAGGTATTCAAGCGTCTCTGTTGCCACTTTTAGCGATTCTCAGTGTGGAAATGTGTGACGAGAGAGAGAGAGAAATTCTCTCATTGTGTACACCAAGCGTTGAAAGATTTAAATCGACGCGTTGGGTTGCATGTCGTCTTTTATTTCTGAATAATACGGTTTTTTATTCTTGATACACGTACACAACACACGTGTCGATACTCGACCTCAATTTTTCCTCGTAACTATACTCATTGTTGCCATCGAATTAAAGAGACGAGACGTCATCATTTGTTACTCTTTGTTGAAATTTTGATTCGCTTTTTTTTTTTTTTTTTAATTTGAAATTAATCGTGTACAAAAGGAAGAATATATATTAAAAGTAACAAAAAAAAAACATATATCTCAACAGCTTCGAGGAAACGCAGCGCGTTATAAATTAGCGCGTATCTTATTGGAGATTAATTTGAGTCGCAATATCATTTGCCTCACTCGGTTGTCGCGTTCAATGCGCAAAACAAAAAAAAAAAAGAAAGAAAAAACTTTTCCGATTAGCAAACTTGTCTAAATGCAAATGCAAATATGCTTTTAGAGTAGCAATATTACTTTACACTGCGTGTGCGCGAGGTGTGAAAAGTCGCATAAATGTCGCGTTGTAAGGCAGTTTTTTTGTTTTTTTTGTTTTATTATATATATAGCTTCCAAACGAAATTTTTATCGCGACCCGGGTGGTCACGAAAAAATCAAGCGCATGCCACATACACGATCACGAACCGTGTAGCGCAATGAATGAAAGCTGTACATATGCAGTTGATCCATTTATATGTCACGTCTAACATCGCAGTCAGCGACACAGCGAGAGAGAGAGATTCATTGGCACAGAATTTCATAATGGCAACAGCGATGCTTGGCGGCTACTCATTAAATCATTGTTAAGCTCGCTCTTTGTGATAAGGAACTGCGGGAGAGGATGACGGCGGGCAAGAAATCGTCGCCAATTGTTAATTTATATTGTGCGCGCACGCAATTCCTGGCAGTCGTGGAACATCTCTCTTGAATATTTATAACGTGAAATCAATTATGTTTCGGACAGAGCGATGATACCGACGATAAAGAAAAAACAAAACTTCCGCTGTATAAATATCAAGTTTCAAGAAGATAAATTCACAGCTGCTTGAAAAATTTTAGTTTTTACGACGGCATCTCAAAACACAGTTGGTTTTTGATTTGTTATTTTTGTGGCGGCGTGTATCTTTATTATTTAAAATATTTCCAGCATGTTTACGTTAGACACACACGCACACACACACACACACACAATAGAAGAAATTAAGAATAGAGAATTCTGTTTTGTACAGTCTATTTTTTTTTTTGTTCTGAGAGAATTGCAGATCTAAATTGTAGATCTAAAATCTACTTTGAAATTCAGTTACGCAACAAACTTTCGGATCGTGTTCGAAAAATTGCTATTTATATAAAAGGAAACACTACTGGGTGTATAATATATGAATTGTTTGGTAATCTCGTAACACATTTGTTACGTTAGAAACACGCCAATGAGATATGTTATTGTCAACATGTTACACCGTCTCGCGAAAGTATCTGACGTAGCGCGTTTGCACAATGTATATCCTTACTTGATACGTGCTGATAAGGAAATACGTGATTTGCCTCTATCTCGCTCGGGCCGCCGTCACAACTGCAAATTTATCGTGTATCTTGTGTGATGATTGAAGCTGATAGAATTTTATTAGAACGCAAGATAGGCGCGCGCTCTGTCTTCGTGCATATTTTTGCATCGCGTGTGCGCGATTTTACGCAAAATCGCCTGCTCCTAATGAGCATTGTCGCTACACGTATCGATCTGCGATCGAACGGATTACCGCACGAATTTAGTAGACTAACGTAAAAAACAACAAGAGACGCCGCGATTAAATAAGAAACGTTCTCTCTTCCTACGATTTCATGGCTTTTCGATGACCTTCCTTTACTTGATTGGCGCTTAAAATTGTAGGTTCACCAGTGAGCACGCGTAACACACGTGTGTAAAACCGGTTATCTACGGAGAACTCGCGCGACGACTTATTATTATTCAAACTCAAAATGATAGACGGCAAAAATAGAACGGACAACCGAACCCAAGGTCGCGCAATTAAATTTCTTTTAATGGGATTTTCGAAATCGAACGCTAATTCGAACGCACATTTAGATTTTTTTTTCTACAAGAAAAAAAATTTTTTTATTGTTGCGGTTGCCCGAAGAGAGTTTGCTGCGTCATGGCGACAAAAAAGGCGAGGCAAATATAATTGTGACTGTTTTCTTTTCATCGTGATTGAATTACGAGAGTAATTCAACAATACGAGATGTAATGCGCGTGATATCAGTTTTGAGGTGTCATCTCCGATGTGACGTCTGTGATTTGCGAAACGCAACAAGAAATCTACGTGCACATCGCAAAATTTGTATTAGTGTCAAGTGTAACTTCTTATGTAAGCGTATACAACAAGTTGTTTGCTGAAGATAATTTTGGAACTTCTTGTCCAAGCCAACATCATATATTATACAATATGGCAGAGAGCCTTCAGCTTGATGCCCGCCTAAGTAAGTGTCATCGTTGTGTTTTGCTGTAACTCAAATCCGAAGAACGTTTTACGTACTTATTTATTCGTCCATTCCCCACCTATCTCGTTTATATGCGTGAAAGGTTTTTTTTTTTTTTTACGCGACTGACGAGAACATGCGCAATCTCTATTTTCAATCCTCACGGTTTCTTACTTTTATTTTTTCTTTTCTCTCCCAAAGCGCGACTTTTAATGGCGCGTAATATTTTGCAAACACACATAAATTTTGTGATCGTCGTTTTATCATTATTCCGCGAAGTGCGTACGGTTCCATTTGGCGTTTAAAAGCCGTAAAATTTTTTATTTCCGACGCGTTTTATCTCGTTAAACGAAAAGTTCCAATTGACCGTTATTCGAAACGATCGTGGCGAACACGCGGCAAGGTGATACCATTTAACTCGGTGCATTCAGCGCAATTCGCAATCGCGCTCGATTAAAAGTGTAACGCAAAACCGCAAAATAATAATAATAATAATAATAATTAAAAAAATGGAGAACTCGACGTCGTCGGAAACGCGCGATTCTGTGTCTCTGACATTAATTCTCAGGGACGATGTTTTCTCACCCGGCGACGATGAAAACCGGGATTGTTTTTCCTCTGTCGCGTGGCTCGTGGGGTCGTGTCACCCTTCGCGTCTATGAGTGACGTCGGCACGCCGAGTTTCGTCATGCTTTATCTATGATTAACTGGTGCAATTAAAGTCCTCCCGCATGCAGTCGTCGCCTCGTTCGTTTACCTCGATCTATATCTATCGCTCGCAAAATCAAAAAATCTCTCGTCCGTGTTTCTCGCGGAATCTGACAATTCAAATGCGCTTTTTATAAATTATTTCGACGATAGTTTGATGTACACAATTCGAAATATCTCGTATATCTCTATTTATATCTTCGATTATTAATGAATTAATTTGTTAGATAAGAATTTTATTATAAAAAATTTAAATATATTTAATATTTAAATTTAATTTTATTTGTTGGATAAAAACCATCAGAGTGCGCCACGAAAATAGAACGCACAATTTATGATTCTGCACATCAAATGGTTTATGTGTGCGCGCGGATTCTTACGGAACTTCGGCGCAAGACGGAAATAATAGAGCCATCGGTCGCGAAACGATGCATGACAAAAGCGCCCACGTGAAACTTCGTTACATCAGTCGCGCGCGCGCGCGCGCGCGATCTCGCTTCTCATCGCCACTGGAGTTTCGTTCGAATCTAGGCAATTTATCATCGAGGTATACGCTTATTTTTTTTTCTTTTTGTTCTCCGTCCGTTATTAACGCGAGTCACGAGACGGTCGTTCGTTAAGTTGCGAAATACACAACAGTAAGTGTGTACCATTACCGCGTGTCCGTGGGTCTTACAATCGCGTGAATCCTCGCGCGAACACGTGATATCCCCGGAAAGATCTTCAGAACTTGGTAAAAATCGATAATATCGAAATTAGCGCGTTAACTCCGACTGTTCGCTTTAAGTTTGACGCAATTTGACACTTCATTCTTTATTGTTCGCTGAAAAAAAAAAAAAAAAACTGGCAATAAATCACTTTTGATAATATAGTTACATCTCGATAACGAATAAACTACTTGAACACATAAAGAAGTTTTGCCGGTTTTTCGAGTGACGCGAGGTGTCTTATATCAATATATTACTTCTTTTTCCGAGAGAGTGTCTCGATTTTTTTTTTTTAACAAATCTTTCGGCCTGACGTGAGCGAACACAGCTCTTCGCGCTCTTTTATCGGTCTTTTCTTTTGTACGTTTTTACAGCGTCACGCGCATAATCGCGTTAAATGAATTTTTGCATTTGAAACGCACAGACTCCGCTCGTGAAAAAATTAGAATTGCGATAATTTGTCGCGCTACACGTTACATGTGTCTATATCGAGTGAATACAAAAGAGGCAACGACGTGCAATCATCGTCTATTAATAATATCAGAGATATTAATAATAGATCGCGAGCGAATTTAGCAAAACTGCAATTTGAGAAAATTAAGATACTTGTTAGAGACGATAAAATGAAAGAAACGTTCTTTTCGTGACGAGAACTGTTGTTAATTATTTTATCAGAATGTTTTCTTCTCGTTTTTCGCGCCTCAACGATTTGCAACGTAAAACACCTGTGTGTGTGCTCCATTACATCAGATTAAATGATAAGCGTGACACCAAAATGTACTCATATATTATCCGCTTTAATCTGCTTAATTCCGTAATAACTGTAAAGCTCTTGTATCCACAAACGCGACGATATGACGTAATAATAAAAATGCTATCTCGTAATTGGCTCAAATACATGTAACAACACAACAGCGTCAACCAATGAGAAGATCGGCAGATAGTCATCATAGAGCGTTAATAAAAGTCTGTTCTACGACAATTCGTCGCAGTGTAATTTTACCTTTTCCCGACAAAACGTATCTATGCTTATTGATACCTCCGTGTATCATCACGTAGTAAACGCTCGAATCGTTAACCCGAGTAATATAAATTTGCCATGTAATTTATTTTTTTTCTGACATTGGTTTTCTGACACATCTTCATGAAGAAAACAATAAAATTTTTTGCTTAGAATCTATGGATCATAAATTGCACCGTAATGTGTGTATAAATTATTATGTATATGAGTTTTAAACTACAAGTGTAAATATTATATACACGCTCTTTTTATATTTAATGCACTTACGTCGTTTTGTTGCTACATCATCATGTTTGCAAATGCAATAAAATTTGCGTTATATTAACGCTTCGAAGAATCAGAGAGACCTGTCGACTTTCCGGGTAGTCGATGGTTTTGAGACAGTGAACGCTGGTTGTCCGTGTAGAAAACGTCGTTGTTTTCCGTTCGGTAAGCGCCATACGCTTGCCAAATTTCATTTCTTTCGGAAAACGTGGATGACAGAATCGTGCGAATCGCCGCTGCCAACAAACGAGACCTGTGCAAATCGAGCGTTAATGTTCAAATCACACGCTTTAAATAAGTGTTAATTGTTAAACAAAACTACGACTATTTGGAAATAGAAAGAGTGCGTGAAAAAAATCAAATTTCAAACATGTGTGCGTTACATTCGTCGTATATGTTACACAACGACGTCGGTTTGTTATAACAAATATCAACAATATTCTTAAAATAAATTGTTTCAAATTCACGCTATTTTCTGCGTATTAATATGAACGCCGACATAACAGGGTAAGCAAATTCTATTTATGATCTTGAATGAGCACGAGAAGATACAAGTTATTATTTTATTGGACTATCCGCGATACGAGTGTGATAAAAATAATCAGAAATACATTTATCAAGCTTAAAATTCACAAAAAGTGTGAAACCTTTGTGCGAAACCACGAGATATTTTTTGCATTAATTTTTATAGCGTTGCATGAAACAACCGCAGCAATAAAACATCAATTTTTCTACGTCTTCTTCAAGATTGCAAAGTCAGATGTGAACACAATTCAGAAACAATGCTTGTTTTCCAAGCTAATGAGATAAAGCCGACTATAGTCTACTGTACACGATAACTTGTTGACATATAATTAATTATGCTTTTATTTATTTAAATCTCACAAAAATAATCAAAATTGCTCGCGAATTAAACTTTTACCGATGTAACGTATCGATAGTATTGTGTAGCAAAATAATTAGATTATATAACGGATGAGTGTATCGAAAGTTTTGGCATTACACAAATTTATTGACTGTCCGCCAAAGTATATGCGATTCGATTCATGTGTTACGAAGAGCTTTTTGTCACTGTCCGCAATCTGTTCGAGATTTATGGAAAATTTACGGAAAAGTCATGTCTCTGCTGTCGTGAAGATTAATCTTCTCTTGTACGGCTGAACATTAGTAACCACAAGACACAATTCGACGTTTATAATTGTCGTTTATAATTGCATGTTACCTATATAATATCGAACAATATACTTATTTACGTGTTTTAAGGACAATTAGAAGAAAAGCAAACAACCCCCGTGCGAGCAAAAGTTTGACGAGGGCAAGAAAAGAAAAGATGAAGAAAAAAACAAATATTAGACAAACACAAATATTGTTTCAGGTCGCCGCTGTCGGGAGCGGAGAATCAAGGTAAGATCAAGGAGAGAAGCTCATATTATCCCAATGAACCCAGACCCATAACGCCGTTAACGAGGAAGGAAAGGGTGCGGTCCTGTCTGAGCCATAATGCGTTGACTATACTAACTGTCGCTGGCGTTGTCGGCGGAGTGATCCTCGGTATAATTTTGCGAAATGCGCGGGGGAAATGGACACATCGGGAGATTATGTATATCAATTACCTCGGCGATCTGTTTCTGCGGATGCTCAAGAGCTTGATCCTGCCGCTGATTATCTCAAGTCTGGTGTCGGCCATCGGCTCGCTGGATCTGTCACTTAGCGGCAAAATCGGTGTGCGCGCGATCTGCTATTACATGACCACGACCATCAGCGCGGTTATTCTAGGTCAGTAAAGATTCTTAGTAGTTCGAGCTCTTTGATTAAATCAGTTCAAATCAAATAAACATTAGATTTATAGCAGCTCGGGGGGATATCGGCGCTGCGATAAATTTTAAATTACAAAGGCCAGAAAGAGCAAATCAAGATGTGTTTACTCTCTCAGAGCGTAACGGGTATAATTAAATTTAAATTATTAAATATAATCTCGCGTAATTATTCCGGTAATATTTAATCAAATATTAGTTTGTGTTAATTAATAATATTCCGAACGCTTCGAATTTATAAGATTATTTCTCGCCGATATAACATGTCGAGTACAGCTTGTGCAACAACAAATCAATCATGTAATCAAAACTAAATCAATAATCATATCGCGAACGAGCAACAGCGAGTATAATAGTGCACAGAGAAAAGTTGCGTTCCGCGGAAACATTGGAGAGACAATTTTCTCAAAGTTACTCTTTTTATGCGTTCAGCAGCTCTGTGAACATCTTTTCGCACGGCTCAGCTGTGCGTTTAACGTATCAAGTAACGCATCTTGGGGTTAAACGAAACGATTGCTCGCGCGACGCGACGCGATGCGAATCACGATCAAAGAATCTCATCTCGGACGATGCTGCGGGACACTTCTCGGGAACTGTAAAAATGATTAAGACAAAGAGATAACGCGCATCTTGCGCATTTTACATATCTTTGCGCGGGAATGCGTGATAGGCCTTGAATATTATCGTGATTCATTCCCCGACGCGCGTAATTAACGAGCGCGATATGCACGATCGAAATGAGGACATAAACGCGACGCGTCTCGGCAAACAATCGCTCGAAGAAAGCAAACATATCTCAGTCGAGTGTGTGTTAGATAATTTTTAATTTTCCATCGACACTCGTCGGGCAAAATAATATGATTATTACGCCGGTCTGAAGATTAGATCAGATCTGGTTATAACCCGAAACTTTGTTTGTTACGCGCGTATTCTCAACTCTCTTCTTCTGGCGTCAATCTGCTTACGACATCGCTACGCTATGCTGCACAATTCTATTTCTAATGTGTCATCGCACTTATCTCGTCGATTCTTCCTGTTGATCTTTCGCGATTGAGTATACGCGTAAAATAAATAAATAAAAAAAAGAAAACCATCATAGCAATTGCTTGAATATTATTAAAAGATTTATCATATTTTTAATATTTTACTGGTTTCGTTATTCTTGTATTTGAAATAAACGTTTAAAAAAATTGATTTTTACCTTAGGTATAATTCTGGTCATTTCGATCAAACCTGGAGTTGGTAGTTCTGCCACGGAGAGCAAGAAGCCGGCGCAAAACGTTTCCACTATCGACACGTTGATGGATCTCGTTAGAAACATGTTTCCGCCGAATCTCGTTCAAGCCTGCATCTCCCAATCTCGAACCGAGCTCAAGATGCCGGAAAACAGCTCTAGTAATCTTATTGTCTTGTTGTTAGTCTGTAGGAAGCGTACGAACAATAAATACTTAGAACAATAAATCTAAAAATACAAATCGTTCTTATTGTGTTATTATTAGACTATTAATATATAAATGTCTGTGTTTAAGTGAATGTGTTATATCTCTGTTAGTTCCGACGGATGAATGGGAACTGGAGGAGAAAGATGTGTCCGGTTCCAACATTCTCGGACTGGTTGTATTCGCGACGGTGCTGGGCATTACTCTCGGTAAAATGGGACCGCAGGCGAAGCCGTTGTTGAGTTTCTTCGAGTCGTTATCCGGCGCTATGATGGTGATCACCAACTGGGTAATCTGGTAAGAATTGCAAATTATAGTATTCTGCGTCTCGAGACTAGTTGCATTAATTGACTTGCGATTACGTCTTGCGATCGTTACGCAACGATCATCGCATTTCGCGCAACTTGTGTTGTTGACAATTCAATGTCATCTGCATTCGCATTGCGCGCGTATAATTTTTGTTAACTTTTTGCAAGAAATTAAAAATTGCAGATTGAGAATATTGCGTTTTGTGTGAACAGGTTGTCGCCGATCGGTGTGCTGTCCTTGGTCGCCTCCAAGATCACGGAAATGAAATCACTGGACGAAGTGGTCGGCCAGCTCGGATTGTACTTTTTAACCGTGGTGATTGCTCTGCTTATACACGGCCTCGTGGTGTTACCGGGAATGTTCTTTTTACTGACAAAAAAGAATCCCTATATCTACATATCGAATATGGCGCAAGCGCTTGTCACTGCCTTCGGCACGTCTTCGAGCTCGGCGACTCTGCCGATCGCAATCGGTTGCCTCGAAGAGAGAAACGGCATTGATCCGCGCGTTACCAGATTTGTTATGCCTATCGGAGCAACTGTGAATATGGACGGTACTGCCTTGTACGAAGCTGTAGCTGCCATTTTCATCTCGCAAGTGCGCAAAGTCGGTCTTTCCTTCGGACAACTGGTGGCCGTCAGGTAAAATTCTCTGTTTCTATTAATTGTTTTTCCTCTGTTTTACGCGTTCTGAGTCTTTCTCTTTCATATTTGTCTATCTGTGTATTATATCAAAATTTATTTTTCAGTATCACAGCGACCGCTGCTAGCATAGGTGCAGCAGGAATTCCGCAAGCCGGCCTAGTAACTATGGTAATGGTGTTGGAAACTGTTCGACTTCCGGCCAACGATGTCTTCTTAATCATTGCGGTTGACTGGCTGTTGTAAGTATTTTGTTTTTTACATAATCTAATTTTGATACAAGAACACACATTTAATTTCTATTATGCGTTTTTTTTTTTTTTTATAATGTGCTAATTCTTTTTACAGAGATCGATGTAGAACCACCATCAACGTGATCGGCGACTCGTTGGGTGCCGGAATCGTTCAGCATCTCAGCCGTAACGAGCTCGCGTTGCCGCACACAAATACGCAACAGACACAAAACGGAGCCGATCATCACGCGACCACATCGATATGAAAAAGTTTCGGTTTCGTTATCCGCGTCTCCGCGAGACTGTGAACGATCACTCGCTTCGCGATCGGATGATCGATTACTCAAAAACATATCCACGTTTCTCGTGCGGCTTGTCGCTCGTTTAATAATATATAACTCGCTATAATTGAATTTTTGAAGACCCTTGATATCAAAAATTATGTGAGCAAATAAATGTGAAAATCGAGATTGAAAGATAATAATACACAGGTATATGTAAATCTAGTAGACATATTATACTACTTGTTTAACCGCGTCACGTCTGATTTTTTCAGGTTTTTGTAAGTTGCTTAAAAAAATTTACATACATATACATATAACAGCAAAAAAAAAAAAAAAGAGTGTATAGTTCTTTCAATCAGACAATACGATGATCAATGATCGCGAAGTACGATCCCGACAAAGTGTTCTTGCAAATTTAGTAAAGTGTTCCGGTTTTTTACCTTTTAGTCAAATTATCAGTTTAGTGTTAATTATATCATGCGAACCAGATTTTATGCGAACGAAGGGAACAATAAAAAAAAACTGTAATCACATTATCGCAATGCAAAAATATTTCGCGAGACCCACGCACAGGGGATACGATGTTCTAATTTCTTTGTTTCAATTAATTAAACATCTGTATACGTACAAGTAATGTAAAAAGAATTTACTTCTATAGTCACTTAACTGAGACACATCCAGAGAGAATATAAAATATTACATTACATATACGTAAAATGGGATAGAGTATAAAATAGTGAATGTCAACGTCTCTGTAGCTTGCGGTGCGAGCAACGAGCGTAATTCTTCAAAATGATATAATTTTGGAATATTATATATGATATATACATATATATATATATAAAAAAGAGATGTGCTTGTGAAAATTTAACTACTTTTTAACTTTAGCAAATATCGTAGATATCCCGTTAAGCGAGAGATCTTGCTTGTAAAATGTTTAATTATGTAGTCAATACATATTATACATATGTGTCTTCCATTTTTGCGCTTAACGAAAATTACGCTTGATATTAATTATATGTACGTTATATATTCTATTTAAATTTTAAACTCTTTGCAGACTAGAATTTTCTTGTTCACGAGTTGTTTTTTTTTTTTTTTTTTTTTTTTTTTTTTTTTTCAATGCATTTAGAGATCGTATTGAAAACTGTCAAATAGAGTAAAGTGTTAAAAAAAAAGTGTTAAAAAAATGTCAGTGGTTTAAAGAAATTGACTTATTACATATCTTACTAAAAAAAAAATGTTAAAAAAATGTCAGTGGTTTAAAGAAATTGACTTATTACATATCTTACTAAAAAAAAAATGACTTATTACATATCTGAATATCAAAGTCTTTTTTGTCTATTGTTTTTCACATTGATAATCTGAATTATAATTCTACTTGCGGTTCTATATACTTCTACTATTCCATAAAGATTAAAAAAAAACTATCGTTGTTTGTGCCATAGAATGTGTTATCATTGTAATTATTGACAATATGTATCTTTTACACTTAACAAATAGCTAGCGGTATAAAAACGGACTTAATTTCATAAGTTTAATGTTTGCCATTGATAACAATAATAAATTGTGGGACTTAACCCTTAAGTATGAAACAACTGAAGTTATCTCCCCTCGTATGTTTGTGTTTCTCAATAGATTTCTTTTTTTTTTCAGATATTTTCTTTTACCGCTTTGCCATAAGAAAACTAATAACGCCGAATTACTACTTTCGTATGCAAATGTAAGAAACATATGGAAAAAAATAAGATTAACAAGTTAATTAATAACAAATTACCTGATTGCGCGTCGCACGATCACAAATGATCGGGTTCCGCTTGACAATTTGCAACGATCGCGAGCGTTTCGGTCGAGTTTACAAATGTTCCGTTCGCATTGGTTGATTTGACGAACACGACCAATGCGATTGGACAATGTGGACGCGGTTTATCGTCGCGAGCGCCAAGTGGAATTTGCTCGAAGTTTGTTGTTCAGTTTCGCCAAACGCGCCGAACACGAAAGAAGTTTTTTTTCCATCTCGCGCGGTTATTTCTTTTAACTAGAGGCGCGTTTACTTTGGTAAAATCTGATTGCGGTGAGTCTCGGAAGTACTAAAATATAAAATATCGCGCGTTCTTTTCGTGATACTGCGTGAAATTCATATATACATGTTTGTGTGGAAGTTCGTGGAAAAACTTGAGGGATTCCCGACGAGACTTGCGGGCGATCGATGTGTGAGTTAACGCGGGCGTACGGTGAGTGAATGCGATTTGTTTATTTCTCCGTCTAAACGAATTCTGAGATATTAACGAATCGACGTTATATTCGACGATGTATTGACGCGATAGAATCGGACAAAAATCAAATGTACGAAAAAGTAGAATTAGGACCCCGTTTGTTTCATACGTGCGCGCACGCGCGCTCGCAGTGCCGCAAACTTTAACAGACGTGCCAACATTGAAAAGTTTTTTGAACTAATCTCTCTCGACTTTATAAATTTCTCTAGATTGATTGTAAACACAAACATATGCGTGGATTTTTCATAATTTACCGATTTTTCACGGTGGTTTTTTTTTAATGAACACTCATAGTTGACATATATAACTTGTCAGAGTATTAATAAGCATCGCGAAAAAAATGTGCGATGTGACGCAGTTTGATCCACAGTTCGATGAAAAATGTTACGACGATGTACTTTAGGGTTAGAACAGATTAAATTTAAATTGCGTCGGGGCTGTGATAATGCATTTAACTTCGTGATACACCAATTTTAAAAAGAAGCGATTAGGTAACTTTCGCGATTTCAAATTAGAAAATTGCATCGAAAAATGTATTTTTTATCCCGACCCGGTTATGCGAGATTGAACTACAAGATTGGTCTGTATGTCTCCTTAATTTTTTTCTTCACGAGTACTGTGATACTTTTTCTGTACTTGAATCGTATTCAACCACATTATTTCATCGACGAGGCTTTTCACATACCTCAAACGCTGCGATATTGCGCGGGAAATTTTACCCAGGTAACATACGGATTGGTGTCTCAAGTACTCTACACATAGATATAATAAATAAATCTCATTAGACTAACATCAAATTTATTTTTAGTGGGATCCAAAAATTACCACGTTACCAGGCTTGTATCTTATTGCTTCCGCGATATTGTCGCCCTTCGATCTCTGCAGTATCGTGTATATAAGATGTATAAATTTATTAGGAACGAGCGCAAATCTTTATCTCGTTTACAATGTCACAAAGGAAAATTGCAAATCCGATAAAACCAATCGGTGGAACGATTGGTTGATACTCACTTTGGCCTATACCGTTACGCTTTTCCCGCCGTTGTATTTCTGGTGCTTTTTTTATTACACAGACGTTGTGTCTGTGAATTTAGTGCTTCTAATGTTATTTCTGCACCAACGCAAGTACGTGAAGACGACAGCGTTTGCAGGTAGATGATCCGCATGTGAATATGAGTATCTGTTGTTAAAAAGTGAAAACAATTTATAAACGAATCAATAATCTTGTGCAGGTCTAATAGCTGTTGTTGTTCGTCAAACAAACATTATCTGGGTCGGTTTCTTCGCTATTGAGCATACGTTGAATATATTAGATCAGAGAATGGAACAACCTGTTCCGCCACGAGCGATCAGTGCTCCATCGCACATTCGCGTAAGTGAACTTGCAAATTTTTAACACACATTGCGGACTGACGACTGGATATCTCGCTAGATATCTCGATATTTATTGAAATTAAATATTCAACTACGATGAACTACCTAACAAATCATAGGTAACTTGAAAAACAGTCGGTGCAAAAAAAACTGGCTACTGGTACGGTTAGCGGTAAACTTTTCTAGTTCGCAATGTGTTAACACGCATATTACGATATGTTATTGAGAATCAGAAGAGAGAATTAATCTTGCAATTCACTTGTAGTTAATTTGGAAGCGGATAATAATGTACGAATTGCGCAAAGGTCCGTTGGCTTTTGTCAAGTTCATTACGCAAGTCTGTAGCAGTCTCCTTCCTTATATAACAGTATGTTTGATGTTTATTGCCTTTGTTGTGTGGAACAAGGGCATAGTAATCGGCGACCGCACCGCTCACGTCGCAACAGTTCACATCTGTCAGATATTCTACTTCTCCGTCTTCGTTTCTCTGTTCTCGTGGCCGTACGTGGTGCCGCATTGGCGAACATTTTTAAAATTTCTTCGTCGGCAATGGATATTCGCCGGTTGCGTAATCGCGGTAATGATAGCGGTGATACGCTCTAATACGCTCGTTCACCCGTACGTTTTGGCCGATAATCGGCACTACGTTTTTTACATTTGGAATCGATTTATGCTTCGATATGCGGCGTTCAAATATCTTTTGATACCAATTTACTGCGCGAGTCTGTTTGCCATGTGGAAAAACGTCAGTCACCTGAGGTTTCTCACACAAATCAATTACGTTGTTTGCGTGTGCACTGTTCTGATACCTCAATTACTGCTAGAACCGCGATACTTTATTCTGCCGTACATTTTTTATCGTTTAAACATGAAAAAACCGGAAAAGTGGCAGATGTGCTTGGAATCGCTCACGATTTTTGCAATCAATTTTTTGCAATTTTTTATTTTTGCTAATAAAGTGTTTTACTGGAACGATCAGCCTTTTGCGCAACGAATTTCATGGTGACATTTGCGATATACAAATTATGTACATAATAAGCAGATAAACAGATATTTACAGACAATAGTAAAAAAAAATACAACAGTAAGAAAAAACATTTACTTCACAGAATATTGAAATTGTCTTCTTATATTCGTGTGTTCTTCTCGTGTATTTAAAAATTTATTTCTTCGAGATAGAAAAAACTAAAATTAATTTTGTGTGCACAAAAAGGGACATAAAAAAACAACTGAACAGAATCGTTCGACGATTGTTTTTGACGAACAACAGTTTATTGTTCATATAGCTGATACTTAATGGCAAAATTGCTAAATAGTTTTGTACAGTAACAGCTTGTCATAATATTTCGCGCGAATGGCATCGGCGTACGATATGTTACAACATTTGATCGATGGCTTAAAATTTGTTTTACATCCTCTATTTTTTTTATATTCCTTCGTACGAATATCACTATTTTGCCGTATTATCGTTTGTTCATTAAATATAAATATTGCATACGACGGTACAATAAAAGATACCGAGATGCATTTTGCAAATATGTTCTTATTTTATATAATAAATATTTTTTTTTATTTATATAATAAAGAATTATGTGAACATTCTTATGTACGTGTGTATGTGTATGTGTGTGTGGAAACACAATCAGGCCTGATAAAAACTATTCTTGAAAGTATTGAAAAACAAAATTTTGGAAGTTTTTTTTATTTCGAATCACTTTTTGAATAGACAAAGTTGCGAAAGTCACATATTGTATTTATTAATCTTCAATAATGTGAAACTTAACAAAGAAAAGTATACGCGTACATTGTTAATTATTGTTCTTCTTAAAAAAAGAAGAACTTTTCAATCTTTCGGATTTACGTGTATTTGCGAGAGAGAAACATGAACATGCATAACTGAAATTATTTTTGTTTTTAGAAATAAAGATGTTTTTTCTTATATATATACAAATGCTTTACGCATGTACATATTGTTCCGTTCTCAGTTTCTAAATCGGTCGGGAACTTTGAGCACTACTCTCGACGAAATGTTTCCGCCTCTGTTTTTGTTTTTTTTTGTTTTTTTGTTTTTTTCACGTAAATATCGATGAGTTGAAACAATACAAATCTTATATCACAAACAGTCTCGAATCAACACGCTAAGTACCTAATAATTTACTCTCTATTTAGTTGAAATTAAAACTAAGGCGCGATTCACTCTCTTATATATTTCCAGTCTTTCGATAAAAAACGAGAATAATAAATTTCTCTCTCTTTTTCTCTCTACAATATCTAACCGCGCGCGAGAGCCGCGCGTATTGCTTGTCGTGAGTTTTATTGCGAACCGTATTCGTATAAATCAATTCATTTGGAACGTAAATAGCTTCTATTCTTCTGTACATTCCAATACCTTCTCCGCACCTTATTCCGGTAGGAATATGTGTGATTGAGAGAAATATAAAGTTTTATTTTATTTTTTTTTTTCTTTGCCGTTTTGGCTTTTTGCGCACGCGCGACATTTGATCGGCTCCTAAATATAATGCAATTAAACGTACAGCTATTATATTACATATAGTATATTATGCTATATATAATTCTTTTGAGTTTTTTGGTGTCACAACGACACGATATAGTTCACGCTTTTAGCGATAAATTATTGTTACCCACACACCGTAATTTATTTCTATACGTTATGAAGCGTCACACACTAGGATAAGATTAAAAAGTGAATCACTTTCGGAAAATCGAAATGTTGCGAGAAAATTATACTCTTCTATTTAATCCATTAGCATGTTTTTTTTTTTTTTTTATCCACCGAAGTGACCTTTCGATTTTGCACGATCGAGTTGTGAGAAGAAATTTGTCGAAACAAAAATTTCATATTTTCCTGTATTTCTACACACAAAAAAAATGTATCAATGTTCGAACTAATCGAGCTGTTTAATGATAATATGATACGATCAACAATTAATCTTTTTTTTTTTATTGCTTACGCACGTAACTAATTTCTTTACGTGTAGAGTTATCTAATTCAGAAGATAGATTACGTTATTCCCCGTTTAAATCAATTAGAATCTAAACATATTTGTATAAATATATCAGATATATTGTATAAATATATTGTATCTAATATACTTGTACAAATATGTGTAAGTCACAGAAAGACAATCGGATAAAGGTTAATGCGGTAGATATATATTTGATCCAATCTTGGTCGCCAAATTTTTAGTAGAGATATGTTGTTTGAGTAACAGAAACGTCAGAGAGTAGGATTTTATACCGGCATTTTCTACCGTGCCATTTTTCACGACTCAAAACCTCGACCGTTCTGCGACAACGGTATTCGGAAGATTTCGGTTATTTTCCGGGCTCAGCTCTTTGTGCACATTCTTTCTTACTTTCTAGGAGTTGTTTTTTTGTTTTATATATTCTACGTAAAAGATACTTCGGATTTTATAAAACTCGCGCGAACTATATTGTGCAAACTAAAAAAAAAAAAAAAAAGAGTCAGAAACAACGTTAAATATATATTACGTTTTTTTTTTTTTTTTCTAGGAAGTACAATATTCTCCTACGCACACGCACACACTTGTCGATAACGCAAAGGACCTCTCCGTCCGTCGCGTTTGATTACAATCTGTCGTATGTAAATCTAATCATTCTGCGCGCAATTGTGACAACAAAATAGAGAAATTATCAACAAAGAGCGGCGTAATAAACGCGCAATGAATATTTCATTCAGTCGAAGAACAGGCGAAGGTGCTTGTTTTGACGAATACTGCTTCGTAGTGTACACTTCGTGTTTTGTCAATCATTATTACTCAACATTTCACAGTCGTAAAACAAAATAAATTCGCCTAACCTTTCTGATTTGTTTTTTGTCTGATGACAATCGCACATACACGCCGAAATCTCTACAGTACCTAAGTTCATGATATGGAAAAAAAAAAAAAAAACGTGATTCACAAAATACACAACAATCTATTCTCTTGCAAAGAGAAGATCGTTCACCTTACCCAAATAAGACACACGCGCTATATAAGTAAAAAATATTTTAACAAAATACATATCTCGTGCACTCTAACTTCACACACTTGGAAAAAACCTATCGAATAGATTGTTTTTCTTTTTCTTATATCTTATCATTCTTAACCAGAAGTCCTCGTAAGTGGTAACTTTAAATGACTATATTGCACTTCGATTGTCATTTCTCTCGACGCTATCGAACGTTTGTTGTTCAACAACATACTTACTTTGGAGATAAGACTCTTTTGTCTCTGGAAACGCACGAGGAATTCTCATTAAGCAAACTTTGTGAATTCTCTATCTCGTAATCGTCTAACGCTAATCGCATAAAGAGGCGGGGCAGGATGTGTGACCAACGATCTAACCAACGATCGTGAAACTGCGTTACTTATACAAGATAAACTAGATTAACGAGCGGCATTCAGGTGTGCAAGCTCAGAGAGATCGATCGATTTGAGAAAAGTCACCTAACTCGTGTAATTGAACTCGTGATTTTATCGCGGATTATCTTCACTCTTTGGCTAAATCGTTTTCTATCGAGTCGTACGTAAGTGTTTAGGAATGACATTCTCGCTATAGAATAAAATGGAATATAACGAGATAATCTATTGTTAGCGTGTAGAATGTTGGGGAAACGCATCCTCTCTCTAGGTATAGATAATAAAAGTAACGATATACAAGCCTTACTATAACGAATAACTGCTCGTTTGTTTGTTTCCGTTTTTTTTTTTTTTTTTTGGTCGTTGATCTTTGTATTCTCTCTACGCGCGAGAAATGTAGTTCGGAAACCGAACCGAAGAGAAACAATTTTCGAACTCTTTTCCCGCACGTGCGCGAACTCAAACAAGATTTACGCACCGAATCGCGTACCCAAGTTTCAAAGAAAGTGCCGGATCTTACCTTCTTCTCTTCTCGCGGTATATCCCATTCTCGAAGCAAGGGCGGATCGTTCTCGGAGGGTGAGTTGCGGATATGTAAAAGCTGATAAAAAAACGATCGTTTTACCGGCTTACATTTAAATAGGTATAATAACGATTCCCTTCTCTCTTCCCCCCGGAAAGAGAGATAGAGAGAGAGTGTGTGTATGTGTGTAAATAACTTTTAGGCACTGAATCGCACAGAGTCTTCCGCACCTAGGAATTCCCTTGGAGTGACACCGATAAACTAGTGCGAAGGAGGGGCGGGATCACATGACAAGATTCAGATTTCTCGAATCGTTGACGAGCACGGATCTTGATCGTCCCGGCCGATCATCATACTATCTGCTGCTTGAGTTTCACCAGATTCGTCGCGCCGTACATCTTCATGTCGAGCGGCGCGCTCGGCTCGTTCTTCTTCGTCTGGGTGTGCCAGGCGAGCACCTTGGTGCAATTGTCCGCCAGCAACTGGGCGTCCCGCGGCTCGAACGGCGCCAAACTCTTTAGGAAACCGTCCTCCTCGTAACCCGCGCGAAACGGCATGCTGGCGTTCGGTCGCTGATGCAGAAATTTCACGCTCACGGCAAACCCGGCCATGTCAACCGGGAACTTCCGACCGGCAACCCAGCCGTCGTAGAAGCCCGCGAACTTACCGTTCTTCAGGATGGGCGAGCTCAGTCCGAACTTGGTGCACAATCCCACCGGAAACATCGATACCGTCTTTGTCTTGCGAATCTGAAACGCATTGTGTTAGAGGACATGTGGTTTTTTTTTTTTTTTTTGGAAATGTAAGAGGAAAAGTTTAGCTAGGTTTATTAAATCAGTTTCACCTCGTCGAAAAGCTCGATATCGTAAGTATTGTCGTCGTCGGCGAAGTAGAACACACCTCTCGTGGCGTTCGCTCGTATCCACTGTAGGCCGCGATTTCTGTTGGACACTCCTCGTGGTTTCGCGCCTTTCTTCAGTTTATATTTTTCTGGCATCGGAGCTATAGTCGTCCCCCCCGCCCCAAATGACATATTTATCACACAATTTCTGCATTGATATTCAACATTCGATACGTTTCTCAAACAAATTTTACCGATTAAATGATCGAACTTCAAGCCCGTTCGTTCCAGCAATTTGGTGACTTGCTTCGTAGCCACGATGGCATCCTCGATAACAAGCCAGTGCACGTTCTTGACTAGCATCAAGGTATGGGCCATGCGCGTGAGTTCGGGTATCTGTTCGGGTCTTCGATATGTCGGTGTTATAATGTACAAAGGTTCTTCGGAGGTTTCTTCGGAAGTCGTAGGGGACGATTTGTGCGCCGTTGTCGCCGCTTGAGATGGAAGCTTGGAATTATTTCTCGAAACCACCGAGACGTTTTTGCTGATCAACTGATTGATAAGCTCGCGCACGAGCATCGAGCTTATCTCTGGACTCAGGCCATTCGCTACTTGCACTCGGTACGCGGCGTACCGAATCTGCAACACAAAGATCGAAATTATTGAGAACATTTTGAAGGAAACATTGTTAAAAAAAAAAAAAAAAAAAAAACGAAGAAGCTTATCAATCCTCTAGTTATTCTACTTGTGACACGTAATTATAACCGATTTTACCATGTCTTCGGTGAGCTTCGGGGTTTTGCCGTAGCTGTCAGCTGCTTCTTCACCGATCGGCAGACCGGCGTCTTCCGCGGAAGTGTCCGCATTGAAGGCCGTTACTTGATCGAAGGTAACGCCGGTGGACAGGTGATATTGATAAAACACTACGCAGATCCCTATCAAGGCGATCACTCCCATTTTCATGGACGGCTTCATTATACCGATGCCTATTGAAAAAAAAATTAGAGAGAAAACATTCGATCATATCAATGACAAAAAATATCAATGACAAGAAGAACGATAATTATATCGTCGGATAATGTGCACTTGGCGAAGAGCATATAAAATAAAAGCGACTTAATTAAGTGTCCTGAACGATTTGTGGTCAGTGTATATTTTCACGATTTGTGTTTGCGCTGCTCGGAAAATCAACCCGAAAGCAAATCCATCGACTATTTGTCAAGACCGTCATTTTAAGCAATAATAATCGAATTTGAACGGGAATACACATCGTAAATAAGGTTTATTTGATGTTTCCTCGACGTTTTTACCGCTCGGTTGAATGAAGCAACGGGGGAAATAAAAATCGGACTTGAAATTAAAAATTTACCACACACTTTAACCTCACTAACTTTGCCGTCTCTCTCCGGAGTTGCGTTCTGTTTTCAGAAGTATCTTGTCCGGAGAAAGAGAGAGAGAGAGAGAGAGAGCGCGAGTTTTCAATCTGACTCACGTTCCAATCTCATTTCAGAAAGAACACGCCATTCACACGTAACGTAATATGTAAGCATGTATAAACGTGTAAAGAAAACCGAAATAAAGGCATACACATACGCGCGCGCGCGAAGATTAACGACGGATAACTGTATAAATTAAAATCGTCTTGTTGTGCGTTTGAGAAACGCACATTTCTCTCTCGTCTCTGTATTAAAGCTTGTGCGCGCGTCACGATGATCCCGCTTTTCCCGGTGTGATCCCGCGCGGAAAACGTCGGATTGCCGTAATAGCCCTGCCGGGGTTAATGCGCAGAGGGTTGGAAACAAAGATGCTCACTCACCCGAATGCTACATGTGTCGGCTGTTTCGTCGTTTCCTCTGCCTCTCCTGACTCGCGGCCTGCTGCTTCTTGCCCTGTCATCAAAATAATTAGCTGCCGTAAATCTCGTAATGTCAAACCGCAAACTTTTTACATCCCGGCAAACTCGGCGCGCGTCGTCCTGCAAAATTTATTGCGCTTCTTCTCGCAAAAAGAAGGTCTCGATGAATTTTTAAATTGCGATATCAAATTAATATATCTCAAAATTAATTGCTCAAGACGCGGTCTGATTTACGTGCGGGAAATTCCGTTTTTTTTTTACGAACTACTTAATTTTTTAGTTCGTACGTAGTGTGACCGCCAAGCGAATGAACACACACGTCTGTCGTTTATTCTTTGCGCGAGCGAGGGATCTCTTCTCTTTTAAATTTAATTGTTTCCGCGGAACGATATTTCTTCTGTGGCCTCGGGAGTCACTAAACTTCGAGAGAGGCGCGCAGGCGTGCGATCCGATAGCGCGAGCCGGAAGAACATCCGTCAGCATCATGGAGTTAGCGATAAAGCAGCGAGACAATTTAAAGCGAGAGAGATAGAAAGAGAGAGAGAGAGAGAGAGAGAGAAAATTGTTGCCGTTGCTAACGAGTCGAGATAATGTGACCGAAATTTATCTGTCGAACGAAATGATGCAGTCGGGAAAGTTCACGACTCCCACGAGGTGTACCGCGCATCAACCTTCGTAAGCGATACAATTTTTAACGTGATCTTATACATAGCTGTCAGATTTTTGTTTACAATATCTATTTAACAATTATATATTTTCTATAATAGCGTACGTGATCATTTTTGTACGACTGATAGAACTGTAAGTTACCACTTTACATGGGAGGTGATAAAAAGAACGAGTGAAGTGTCTTCGTAAAACAAGAGAGATCCCCGCGCGCGAACCGCGAGCGAGAATTCGCGAAGGTGCAAAAAAAAAAAACGAGAAAAAAAAGTCATATTTCATAAGCGAGTAACAACAACAAACACTATACACGGTAGTTGCACCGTTATAGAAAATGTTTCTGTACATAGTTGCGCGTCGCGAAACTGCAGTTGCTATGTTTCTTCTCCCCGCGCGATATCGCAGACAGCTCGTTTATCATTAATAAACGTCTTCTTCCTTTCTGACTTGCGATGTTTTTTTTATCTCGGTTCTTTCTCTCGCCACCTTTCTTTAAACGCGCGAAAATCTTTAATAGATATCTAGTCTCTCTTATTTAATGTTTTTCTTCTTTTGCCGCTTTTCGAGGCAACTTTTGTCACTATAAAATAATTTTTTTATTTTTTTTTTATCTCTTGATTCGATCTTTCTATATATATATATTCATTAGGGCACAAAGAATACGAACCGCACAAGTGCCTCTTTGCGTACGAGTGTGTCGGTAATAAGACTTTAAACGCGTCACACCTATCACGGTAACGCTCTCCTCTAATTTACTTTCAACGCGTCGCTATCGTGTAACGATCTTACATAAGTCGCGTGTCATGTGCAGAGAACACGGGGTCCGCTCTAAATTACAGGACGCGGAACATTTAACGCCGTCTCGACCAACGTCACACTATCTAAAACGCACACTCTTTTTTGCGCGTTCTGTCGGCGGCAGAAAAAAAAAGAAAAAAAAAAAATTGCGGCAGAGACTGATATAGATAAGATCTATTGTTTTTGAATGAGCGCGACCGAACAACAAACTTCGTGGTAAGTACACGGTAGTGGTGTATCGATTAAAGATTAATCCTCGTCGCAGTTCCAACTCGCGTTCCAAACAGTTTGATGTAATTTACTATTCTATTTACTCCGCACATACATTGTAAATGTTGTAATAAGCGCGGGATAGGGAGTTTAAGGTTAAAATAACTGTTGAAAAAAATAGAGAGAGAGAGATAAATATTCTAGAGATATTGATTGGACGTCAGTAACATTCGATCGGACTGAGCAAACCAATAAGTTTCGGCCTGAATTAAACGACGGAAAAAAAAAAAAAAAAAAAAAAACAAGCAATTTGCTGACGATCGATCTCCGTGTTTAATTAACGGTGCGACAAATGTGTGTCTCTGAACGCGACGCGCGGCTTCCTTCAATAAATCACGCGGAATCCCAATAAGGTTTCTCGGGAGCACGTTTTTCAGAAACCCGTGATACACAACAGTGATATAATTATACGATCTCACCTGGCAAACTCTTCGTGTCGTAAAGATATGACACGTATCTTACTGGCAAGTTAGCTCGAGGTTGCTTAAAAATGTCATGTGCTTGAAATTGTTGTTCTCGTGTGTGCCACACGCATAACAAATGCTTTGTTTATCAAAGAACGAGAGATAGCTCTCTGATACGAGAAGTTTTATCTCGATATTTTTTGTGCAAAACATTATCTCGGGAAAATTTATTTTTTTTTTTTTGCGAAACGTGTGAATAAGATCTCACAAGGTGATATCCACTGGTAAAGCCATAAAAAAAAATTAAGGTTTACACAGATAGAGAGAGAGATTATTTCATTTCTCTAATCTTATCGACACACCTATTTTCCGAAATGCAAAATTCATACTATTGTATGTAAACAATACATCGTACACATTTTAGAAAAAAAGTAATTTTTTTCTCATTGAAATAAAATAATTTGTGAGAAAGCAGTTTAAGTGCAGTTAAAGCAGTTGTGTGCGTAATATAACGAAAATTAAGTCAAAAAACAATATTTTATTCAATTTTATCAATCCTCTCTTGAAGAATACGCGGAATCGTCACGCGAGAAATTTCGCAATTGATTGATCTTGCTCTCTCGCAACCGGTGATGGTGTTTCGATTGATCGCCGACCTCTCGTCGTTGATTAATAATTACGACGTGCCTGTCCGGAAATTTCGCGGTTACGAGAACTATATCGGAGCGTTGGTCGTGAAACGGGAACGATACAAGTATTCCATCCCGGGGAAAGAAGAAAATGGCATAAATTACTAATTATACAAATGCGAGGAAACAAATTGCTCGAGCGGGAAGTTTTTGTTTTTGCTTCCCGTTTCTTGCTTCTCGCTTGCATGCAAATTTTATAGCTGATCGGTTCGCATTAACTAATCGTACCGTCGGATAATTGTGCGAAGAGATCGCCGACTTGCAATTTAAATCAGTTTGCAAATCAATCACATCGAGGTAATTTGCTTCTTATTTAACCGCACGTTGGATATAAATAAGCAGAACTTTGTTTTACGCACTTATAAAATTTTCATTATTTAGACAAGCGTTATGAACATTATATAATCTACACACATATTTTATATATATATATATATATGCGTACAACACACATATATATGCGTATGTATAGTTTCTCTCGAATAAATTGTTTGATTAAAAATCATTGGTGCTGTAATGCAACATTAAAAAGAACGTGATAAATCAGTAAATTTTCTCGTTCGCAAACCAAGTCACGGCACTGCACGATTATTATGCGTCGTTTGCGCACTCTTGCGCCACTCAAGGTGCACGCGGCGCGATGCAAATAGGCAGCGTGCGGCGAGATTGTTCACGTTTTGCCAGTAGAAACGCCGCGATATCGCCAGACCGTCGGGTAGTTCAATAGAACTTTTTTATATCGCGGCTAACTTCCTCCTCATAGCTCGCACAGACCTCATTCTCGCTCCAAGTAATTAAATGTTTTCTTTTCATCGAGTTTAAAAATCACAAAATTTCTCTTTTTATCAATACCAAAAGAAGAATTCGCCGAAGTTCTATCATTGAAAACGGAAAAATTCACCTTATCGAGTTGCAATTCCTGATGCATAAACGCTAATAATAAGTAAGCGATAACTTTTAACTTGAATTTCCAGGTCTCCGGTATATAAATGCACGTTTAACCGCAATTGGAATATATTTATCGGATGTAATAATAAAGAAAAAATAATCAATATCCTGCTCCGATATATCTTTCGCGCGACTTGCGTCTACAATTTATTTCCGTTTGTTTTATTTTCTAGTCAGTGACCAATAAATTTGTAACACCATCTTTGTGGACTTCCGGACTGTTATCACTAATTGTAATCAGCGTGATAAACTGCAATTAATCGTTTTGTTTAATTGTTTCAAATGCTCATATACGTATTTAACACAACGTCGTCTTTTCTTATCTTGATTTTATATCGTAGGCATTGAGCAACGTAACAAGTCAAAACGTGTGTGGAAATAAATTAGATGATAATGCAAGAAGAAAGAAGTTTTTTTTCGACAAATACGAGTCATTCCCGGTTCTCTTATCTGTATTCTCGATTTTCTATGAATATTCATTGCGCTTCTGATTTACTACGCGATTTAGCGTGAAGATAAGCAGGTATATGTCGAGGAACTGAGACGATGCAACTTGGGCCGTCTCTTTGCGCGTATTCTCTTATACATCGTATTCTCGGGCAAAAATATGTATCGCACGTGCAAAACCGGAGGATCGAATATCCCCGAGCGCGAGATAAACGCGCGCGTTAAAAATCGCGGATACGTGCGCGCACATATCCATACATTTAATTTACGTTGTGACCTTATAACACTAATGTTAACGTATACGTTACGCGATCAGCGCTAATAATTAAGTAATTAGCAAGTTTAAAAACAAACGCAAGTCGCGTCTATAAATTCTGATATCACATGTAATGTGAGACTTTTTTTGTCTTAAATAAATAGAATCCTTCTATTCGTATAATTAGTGGAACATATATATATATATACATCTAATATCTTTTAATTTTAGCCATCGCGCGCGCAAACAGCGCTTGTTATTTATTCAATCGCTTATGAATGCATACGAACCGGAATTCACGACTCGGCGGAAGTCGGGTGTTGATAACTGCGGCCGATTATTAACCGCAGTTTCTTTAAACCAGAATCTCACTTATCTTGTCCGTGGGTTTCCGCGCGTATCAGACAAATTAATACGTTCGTCGGGCGCGCGAATCAATTTTTCACCCGACTGACGGCGTTCTCTTAACTGTTCGCGTCTCCGAGAGAGCGCGGAGACTTTTCAGAGACTTAGCTCGCGTCTCCTCGGAGAACATTAATCAGGCCACTTCGCTCAGTCAGTTAGCACTCGTCGATCAAAACGTAAAAAGATCTCGCGAAATCGTGCAACGAAAAACTGCAACATCTTCGGAAAAACCATGCGCCGTCGACGCGTTGTCCCATCGTTGTCCCGACATCGGGAAACAACGACGACGACGACGAAACGCGAATCGCGGCTCGTTCGACACTGAAACCGTTTCCCCCGATTTTCTCTCCTACTCGCGTGGTGGCCACTTCTGCAATGCCGCTTCGTAACTATAGCCCCACCATTTCACAGAACGACGCAGAGGAGTGGAAGGAGAGAGAGAGAGAAAGAGAGACAGACTTATGTCCCACGTGTGTGGGTAATGCGCACGGTCCACGGATCACGCGGTGGAATCTATTAACAGATTGTGGTAGTTCTGTGCTTGGAAGGTGCAACGATGCGTTTTCAGGTCGATGAATGATTTCAACCCTTTTTGGTGTGACGCTTGGATTTTCGCCTCGTTTGAGAAGTGCGCGCGAGTTAATTAGAAGCGATAAATAAATATCATAAATTAGAGACGCATGAAATGTGAGAGACGTGTGTGTGCGCGAGCGAATGTGTGGGTGTGTACGAAAATACGAAGAGGAATAAATTCCACTTTATAATGTTTGTTGTTTACGATATATCTATATTCGGTTGCCATGCAAAGTTTGAGTGAGTGATTGTACATAGATGTGACACGAGTTATTTTCTGTCCATTTTGTTCGTGCGAGTACACAAAGGATTTACTCTCTTTCTCTCTGTGAAAGTGGCAAAGTGTCGCAATAGAGAACTACCCAAATCGAAAGTCGAACAACTTCGGACAACTTGACGAATAATTCATACGACCTACTCGCGCAATCAGCGCTCACAATCTTTTTCCAATATGAACGATTAGTCGCTCAAAAATATCGCCTTCCCTGCAACTCGGTGCAATATTGGAGATGTGTCGAACTACCAATGAATTATTTACCAATCGCAAAACACACACGTTAGCGTGTGTTGAAAAGAGGATTATTTTTTATTAATGTTTCTACAAAAAAAAAAAAAAAATTGAGTCAAAAAGTATAAGGCGAGTCACAAAATTACATATCTTGTTCGGACTGCGTCTGCGAAAATAGAGTTAAGCAGCAGATATTTCAGGATCGCCGAGATGACGTTGTGCTTTTTGTCACATCGAGGTGAGGACTGCGAAACGTACATATAACACATCGTCGGTACGTACATACGCGCGTCGTCAGCGAATAAAGCAAATAAAAATGCTCCCCTGTGTCTTCATTTTCACAAAAGCAAGTTTTACTTCCTCGCGACGTATAAAGCTCGCTCACCCGATTTTCTACGAAAGACAAAGAAATATAGCAAGTAAAATATATATGTATGTGTGTGTATATATATATATATATATGTGTGTATATATATATATATGTATATACATACATATATGTAATGTCGCGTGGAACGTCGCGCCATTCAATTCCCACACCGTGGCGAAATTGCGCGAATCGCGCGTGTCCCATTTTTCACAACGCGTGACGCTTAAAAACGCGTTGTCGGCAATCTTCTCGTTTTAAACGCGACAACGTCGTTCGTCGCGAAATACACGAATATGACGATAATTTGTGTCGTGACGCGAACGCGAAGAACGAAAATCGGGCGATATTTCGCGCGAAAATTTTATAATCCACGCGCGGCAGGAAAAAAAAAAACAAACAAACAAACAAAATACAAACGATTCGTCGAAATATTGACTTTCCGATTAGCTCTATAAATATGCGATGCGCCGACGGGCACATGTATATTCTATATACCAAGTCGCACACTTTGTGTTACGCGCGTTTCGCGTTGTTATCGGATAACGCTATGTAAGGTGTATTGAACGCGCGCCACGATGAGCTTCGCGTTTGCCGGCGGGAGAAAATGATACGGGCGCGCGATACACCACCGGTGCGCGCACTATTGGCAGCACGTGCTCGTGATTGCTGACACACGGGAGAGAAAGAGAGAGAGAGATAGATAGATAGATAGAGAGAGAGAGAGAAAGGCACGCATACAATGCACAAGTTGTATAATGATCAATAACACGAGGTAGAAATGAAGTCGATGGCGAAGGACGTTGACGAGAAGCGGCCTCGAGTGGATGAAGGTGTTGTGTGTACGGTTGGATTTTTGTTCGAATAAGCCCTCTGACGTACTAATCAATTTTGCGACGTCATCAATTGACCGCGATCGATCGATATATTGAAATATTATAACCATTCTCTTCCTCCCCGACTGCAAAAAAACAAAGAGTTTATATAATATAAAGCACACGGCATTCTAATTTGATTAATATTCCCAACATAACTTGCAATTTCTTACCCGTTCGATGGGCAAATATTTAACATATTGCATCAAGCGTTGCATTTTCTCACACGTGCGGGTAAGTTTCACACGGCGCGATCAATGTTGAACAAATATATAACTATTCGTCTTGTTTAATTGTCACTTGCAATATATATCTTGGAGATAAATGATAAATTGTCTTCAATAGTTGTTGAGTAATTATAAGATGAGAGAAAACTTCTCTGTGTGTGTGTGCGCGCGTCGTCCATTAAAATTGCAACATTTGCGCAACAATTTTACTTCAATATACCACATCTAATAAATTAAATTTCAAGAAAAGAAAATTGCAAACGAGATAAAATACGTTTTTTCTTGTTTATACAATAACAAGATTTGCTCGTGCAGTTTTACACTCGCAAAATAGTAGCAATATGTAAAAATAAAATCACCTGACCTATATATGAGACAAAAATATATTTTAATTTTAAGCCGTTTACTTGCGCGTAAGTAAAATAATTTTATTTCTCAGTTCGATAAATGAAACATTTTTATGTTTTATCGAAAATTGTTAACGCGGAAAAAAAATTGTTTTGCCAGAAGATTAATTAATTTACTTAATGACCGGCAAGAGAAAAAATTGGCTAAGCCCGATAAATTTGTTGCTTCGTCAAACAAAATGTTTTGTTGGTGAAACAAAAAATACAGTTAGGCTTGACAAATTTTTGCTTTATAATAAAATAAAAAAACTTTTTTGTGAATATATACGGTGAAATATGTCACGCGTTTTGCAAACATCGCCGAAATATTTTCGCGTAATGATCAATCGTGATATACGAAAATATACAAGAGAAACACGAGCTTGAATTCCGAAACAAGTTGTAACACGAGATCGGGAACATGTATTTACGGATTTTCTCGATTAATTTCCCGCCCTGTGTAAACGGGAATCGTGCCGAGGGATAACGAAGACGGCGGTATGAGAGAGAGGGAGAGAGAGAGAGGAAAGGAGGGAGGTTATAAACGCGAAGTTTGATCGATTCGCATTCAAGCCGGGCGAATTTTCAGGCAAAAGGCGGATATTTGTATAAAGCTTTCCCTTGCCGGTTTCGCGTTTGCTCTCCGAGCACGTTGCTCGTCGCAGACGGGATTCTCGGGAGCGCAATTTTGCGAGGTCGTGTAATTTGTAACGTAACTTTTGCTATCGGGAGGAGAAGGATCGGGAGGAGGGGGGGGGGAAAGGGTTCCGTAACTAATAAGAAGTTCCCGCCGGCCGTCGGGGCCGGTCGACCCGAGAGAGAACCGGCTGGTGTGCGGCTCCCGGTTCGGTTTCGAGGACACATGGCGAACACACCGGCAGATCGATAAAACCAACGCAGCAGACACCATGTGATTCTCTCTCTCCCTCTTTCAGTTTCGAACACCCCTTGCCTTCTCTCGATACCCTTTTGCTACATGTCGTTCGCGGGCGCCGGCAAACTTTTTCCGATTACGCGCTGATGGCGTATATTACATTGTTTTTCTTTGCCGTCTCATTTCCATTCGATATTGTCATTCATTGTAAAAAACAAAGTCTGAAAATTTATGCAAATATATTGATGATGAGCGCATCGGTGACAATTATCTTCTTCTCGAGAGAAGAGCGCGCCCGTCACAGGGATGTTACGCGAAGTGAAGAAACGATTTTGTCATTGCATAAAATAAAAAGCGGTGACAATTCGAAAATGGGGAGAAAACAAGAGAGAAGACACACACGCACACACACACACACGGAGTTCCGTTTGTACGTAACATTCAGAGATCGATTAGACCATCTGCGGTCTCTCCAAGCGAAACGTCGCCTTTTAATGAAATTTCTTTCTCTCCCCTTTTGGAAAACCAGGAAAGGTACAGGTGCATCCCCTTGGATTTCCCTCATGACGCACATGTGTCTCTCTCTTTTTGTCTCTCTCTCTCTCTCTCTCTCTCTCTCTCTCTCATTCATCGTCTTTCTCTCCCATTCTCTGTCTATCCATTTCCGTTCCTCGTTCGTTGTCATATTGATCGTGACTCATACAATATAATGCCGACGTGAAATGCGATGCACGGTACAAATGTTGTAAATCGAGGGGGATCGGCGCGGGAGCCGCGAGTCTCTCGATATATATCGGAGGGAGGGATCTTTCGTGACCGATTCTCACGGACGTGGGAGATACGGGGATTACGGTGGATTATATCAATAAGGAACGAGTTGGCGTGCCGTCCAGGAAGCACAGATAAGCCGAACTCTCGCGATCGATCAAGGTCGCGGTCGATTGCGTGTCGCCGTTTTCAACAACGGCGCGACCCTAACGCGTTATCGCTGTCATTTCTTTTTCGTTTGCGTGTTCCGTCGGGACAGATGTTGAGACAGATCAATAAATTATCAGTGGGGCATCGATGTTAGTTGTTTTTTTGTTTTGGAACTTTGCGCAAGTTCGAGCAGATCGATTACTTCATTCTGTGTACAAACATTCTGTGTGTGTTCATTTCGTGTGTCATGTAACGATATATCGCTCTGATACGAAATATTATATCTCTCTTGGTAACGTAATCCGTACTCAAACCAATTATCTTCAATATCACGAAATGCCAAGCTGCGCACACGTGCTGCCGTGTGTGCGGATGCTAAATTTCCCTACGGAATTCCTTCCCGCGAACCGATCGCGCGCCGATCTCTTCGTCGCGCAAAATTTTACAACTGCGCTTTATGTGCTCTTGTCCACGCGGCTTTTACGAAATATTTTATATTTTGTCGCGCGCATAGTTTTTGCGCGAGATTACGCAAGACGAGATTTTTCTTCTTCCAGAAAATCCGAGAATTTTTTTCCACTCATCTCTCTCGACAAATCTCTCGTCTCTTCAAATTTCTCGCTAACGTTTCTCTCGCAATTTTTCTCTCTATTCTAGCGCGCCAAGGATCACACATTTCTACTGGCCAATGTCCTTAACGACGTTTCTACAGGACTTCCCGATAACTTAAACCGGCTAAATATATTTCCACTTCCTTTATTGACCTTCCGGTATCAATCCCCGCCGCCAGTAGTGGTAGCAACCCCTCTCTCGGTAATCGGCCCGGCACAAAGATAGCGCCACGGTCGCGGTCGGAGACCATTCACCCATGGTACGGCTTGCGAAGCGGAGAAATTTGGATGAGAGAGTCTTAGAAAAAAAGGAAAGAAAGTAACCTAACCGCGCGCAAGAGAGAGAGAGACTGCACCGAGCACACTGGTTTTGTTTCCCCCCCCGGCGGCTCGTGTGCGTGTTCGAACGATCGTAGATAAATATGTACTCTTAGCCGGGGACAGCTCGGTTCTTCGTGATTGAGGTTAAGCTTAACGGATCATTAATTTGCATTAATCCCGGTAATTTGTCAAGGTGATCAATTCGTAGGTTATTTGCTGACTTTCGCGAGAATTGTGCGTGTAACTCTCTCTCTCTCTCTTTTTCTTTCTTGAAACATTTCAAGAAAATTTAGGAATTCTCATTGAGAGGTTTCGGAGAGAAATTTAAAGCGCAAAGTACAATTCTCGCTTTGACGCAACAGAGAGGGTAATCTTTTTTGCACGAAGGAAGAACTGAACTTCGCGAAATACACACACACACACACACCGACTGTGTTAAATGACATCATCGTGCACGAGAGAGAGATCGACTTGGTTCGCGTAAAGTAACACAGATTTGTGTGTCCACAATTTGCGAGATCGTAAATGACCATCCTTACTTCGTCCCTTTCGCGGCGCGCGAAGCCGCCGATGATCGTGACGATGCGTAAGCACCACGAGTCACGAACAGATGTTTCACGACGTGTCCGATCCACCGCTTGTGTCCCGCCGTGTCAATCTAGGCCAGACTGAAGTTACAATCTGTCACGCGTTTCGTGAAATCACGAAAATTGTACGTTCGATGATTTGAATCAAAATTCTTTCCGCGGCAAGGAACAAAACGGAGCTTTATGTGATAAAGAAATGCGCACACGTTTGCAATTGTCGCGATCTCTCGCGTTGTTTGACACACGGTCGTAATTCTCTCGCGGAGACGCAAAAGAGAAAGAGAGAGAGAGAGAGAGAAAAGTTTGTGTTGAAGTGAAAAATTCACGTGATTCACACGACGCCGACACGGCGAACATCCATACGTTGGACAAGAAAGCGTGTTGCTGCTGTACTCACCATAGTAATAAGGATGTCCCGTCGTCCGCCTTTTGAACGTCGAGCCAGCCAGCCAGCCAGCCGCCGATCGGCAGGTCTTCTTCTGGTGGCAGCCTCTACCACCACACTGCGAAGGAAAGCGCTACGGGAACGCTACTGCTGCTGTGTCCGGAAAAAAGCGGGGGCAAATCCGTCGCCACCGCCGCTGCCGCTGCCGCCGCCGCCGCCGCCGCTCTCACCCATGCTGCGGCACGCGAAATTCGCGCATGTACCCTGAAGACGAAGGCGTCGCGGCGCCGCGCAGCCGGCCAGAGATATGCGCCCACAAGCGCGCACACACGTATACGGCAACATTATTTACATGCGAACGCATACACGCGCGCTCGAGACGTTCCGGCTGATCGAAAGAGCTGCTCCGATCCTTCGGCGTTTCGGCGACCGCTTTTGTACTTTGTAACCCTTTGCGATCTTTACGGCCGAAGACGCTCGAAACGGAACGTTGCTAATTTATTGCATAATTAAAAAAAAGTTAAGTTTTTCAAAAAAAACTACCCTCCTCGTAGTGGGGATTATTGCGTTACGTGATTGAAAGTCAATGTTACGAGATGCGGATAAAATTTATTTAAACAAATGGCTCAAATATTTCGCAAAAATATATAATTTAACAGTAGAATAAATGCAAAAATTGAAGCACGCCGTGTAATATTGATTCCGTTATTTTGTAATTAAACATTTATGTCGCCTTTCTTTCAAAATAATCAAATTTGAAGAAAAACGTTTCAAAATCGGTTTAGAATCGATTCGCGAATACACGCGAGAAAACTCGAAAATATTTATATAAATATATTTTTTTTTCAATCTCTCTCTCTCGCGCGCGCGCGGGCGCTCACGTTCGATGAAGTGGCAAAGAAACGCAACTTTTGTGACGAGTTTTTAATTGTTTTCAATTGCCTTTCTGTTAGCGAGTAAGGTAACTCTTGGGCAATACGTTGAGTTACACATTTCGCACGTAAATCAATACATCGGTGTTAAAAGCGCGCGCTGGTCACTGTATGAATGTTGCGAAAGTAGAGTAGTGAGTTTACCTTGGAGTTAGCGGGGGAGTAGATCAGGTTAATAATATTGTTAACGATCCTCCGTGTACGCGGTGTACGGATGGTTGAAGCGAACCGCGCGAACACTGAGATGAGTTTTGATAAAAGAGATTCAACATCCTTCCTCTTTAACAAATTCTTCATTTGACGAAACAAAGCGCGCAACTGATCATTGGCGGCTTTGAGAAAATTGTTTTCAATCTGGTCTGACACCAATCGTTGTCATGATTTATCAATACGGGGGGTGTATAGTCGATTCGTCGATACGTAGCGTCGGGACGATAACGATAACAGTTCATCCGCTGTCAGTCGCACGTACCGTTGCGTTCAATTGCGATATTTAGTGCGTTTTACTCCGATGATTGTTAATTTTTGTCTTTCATAATACATTTTGCCGGTGGCAAAAAAAAACATATTGAGTTTATATTTGTACGTATATAATCTCCTTTCATTTCTGTGTGTTTTTTCACTCTTTAAATAAAATGGTTATTTCGAAATCCAGATAAAACAAAGATAAAAGCGTATATGCGAGTGTAAAAAAATATATCTCGCGCTTTCATAATTTTTTATTCAAATTTGAACATTATTTGTCTAGGCGTTGGAATGAGATAAAAAACAATTTAGTGGAAAACAAGAGACCGTGAGAATATTGATTAGCGTGCGCGCGCGCGCGCGCGCGCGACAAGAACGTTAACCTAATGATTTGTTTGTAATTTTGTTTGTGCGCTCCGCTTAAAATAGAAAGAAAATCGGCATTTAAACGGGCACTGGTGGCGGGCGAGGGGAGCAACGTTTGATGGAAACGTGCATGGTGTGTGCCTAGTGCCTAGGATGAGGTGCAGAAACGCGACGACGGCGCAGTGAGCGCGTTGACGCGGCGTCCGGCAGCGCAAAGGTGCGCAAATCGGCGAGAATCGCACAGTTTTGCAAGCGGCGCACAGTGCGAAACGACGGGTCCTGGCCGGGGGTTGGTTTCTCCTATTCGAGGTGCCGGATACGTGCGGCAGCTACGACGGCGGTGGTGGCGGTGGTGGTGGCGGCGGCGGCACCGCGGCACGCTTTTGTTTCGCGCGAGTGGTGCGGCGAGCGCGAGAGAGGATCAACGTAACATTGGAGCGCGTTACGAGCCACCGGCAGAAGGAGGAGGCGGTAGTGGAGGAGGAAAGAGAGAGGAGCAGGAACACATAGGAGACAGAGAGAAGAGCGCGTCGGGAAGCGCTAGCACGCGGTGTGGCGAAAAATGGCGAAGACGTTTCGCGCGGTGACGGTTTCGACTCTGTCAAACAATGGACAGTCTACGCCGAAGTACAATAAACCAGTCACGCTCAATATCAATTATGACCCGCAAGGCCTCAGCGTCGAGTTGGTCTCAGGTAAAGAATGCGGCTGGACAAGCCGTTTTACTGCCGCATCTCTATCGGGTAGCGCGACTCGGTCGTCGGCGACGCGGTTGACGCTGACGCGGCCCGACGGCGATGCGGCTGATCGATCACGCGACCGATCGCGAGACCCCCGGGCGACATAACCACACTTTTGCAGTCGCGTCGATTTTTTTTTTTTTCTGCCCTCTGGCAGAATATCCGCCGAGCCCGGCGTCGAGAGCAGCATCGGTCGATTGTAGGCCAATATTGTCGCGTCATGCTATTGTTACACATGATCGAAATGCCTTTCGTTTTGCGCTCAAACTTCTCTTTCTATCTTTTTCCCCGTTTTCTTTGTCTTTCCGGTAATGAAATGTAATGAGGGGAATCGAATTCCATTGTTTTCAAATGCTCCGATACTGATTTTTTTAATACCTTTTTTGAAAAAAAATGATCTATTTGTTTAAAACAATAACTTTCGGAATGTAAATGGTTGTGTTGATATAGCTTTATGTTATATCAAACACATTTTTGTTAGTTATACATTTACTAAATATATATGTATATATGTACATGTATATATGTATACACACATGGTTGTATATAATAGTTTTAATATTCTCCTTTTATAGGAGACCTTAGCACTAGAGAAAAGACATCTCTATTGGAATTTCCAGTGACTCCTAGTACAGAATGTTCTCGTGTGTCATCTCGAAGTTATGTTTTTACATTTGATACAGATAGTATACTATTTACATTTGCTAACGAAACAGGTGAGCTCATAAATATACATATTACACTTTGGAATTTGACCTTTGCGGAGATAATCATTACATACATAATCATATATCGGCGAGAAATAAAAACTTTAATAGATACTTTAAATTTCTTAGATTTTCGTAACTTTCACTCGCACATAGTAAAACTCAGGATGGGAAAAGGTGTATCAGCATTTAACGAACGAACGGAAGAATCTTCGGCGATGCAGTATTTCCAATTTTATGGATATCTGTCGCAGCAACAAAACATGATGCAGGATTATATTAGAACCAGCACGTACCAGCGAGCAATTCTTGGAAACTTATCTGACTTTAAAGATAAGGTTGTATTAGATGTAGGTGCTGGTTCTGGTATATTATCATTTTTCGCTATACAAGCTGGAGCAAAAAAAGTATATGCCGTGGAAGCAAGCAATATGGCAAACCATGCAGAACTCCTAGTTGCAGCCAATAATTTGTCAGATAAAATAATAGTCATAGCTGGGAAAATAGAAGAAATTGACTTATCTGAACAAGTGGATTGTATAGTAAGCGAACCTATGGGATATATGTTGTACAATGAAAGAATGCTTGAAACTTATTTACATGCTAAAAAGTGGTTAGTTCCAGGTAAATATCTGATAAAATTACACAATTTGCGCGTTGTACTTATTGTGATATTCTTTTATCACACAAAATTATTTTTTATCTTCAGGTGGAAGAATGTTTCCCTCCAGAGGTGATTTACACATTGCACCATTTTCTGATGAAAATCTTTATATGGAGCAATTCAATAAAGCCAACTTTTGGTATCAAACATGTTTCCATGGTGTAGATCTCTCTGCCATGAGAAATAACGCCATTAAAGAATATTTCAGGCAGCCAATTGTTGATACTTTTGATATTAGAATATGTATGGCGAAATCAGTGAGACACATAGTAGACTTCCAAACAGCTGATGAGACTGATTTACACAAAATAGGTACGGAATCGCACAATGATTTAAAGCTATAAGATATTTAGGAAGAAGATAGATATACCGAATATATATAGCATCGCTAACGTTCTGCATATTTTATTTTATTTAGAAATAGATGTCGATTTTCATATATTGGAGAGTGGTACATGCCACGGTTTAGCTTTTTGGTTCGATGTAGCGTTTATCGGATCGACTCAACAAGTTTGGTTAAGCACGGCTCCTACAGAACCTCTCACACACTGGTATCAAGTACGGTGTCTTCTGGAAAATCCTCTGTTTTGTAAAAGTGGACAGTTGCTCTCTGGAAGAGTTATTCTCATAGCAAATAAAAGGTGAATACAATGCATCTCTCGCTCCAAGTTTGCTTCTAGCTATCGTATCTTGGTCTCTATTTCCAATAATATATGTTTCTGTACATACAGTATCATTATATTTTGTGTAATATTTATTTCAGACAATCGTACGATGTAACAATAGAACTAAAACTTGAAGGAACAAATATGGAAAGCAGTAGTAACACTTTAGATTTGAAAAATCCTTACTTCCGATACACGGGCGCAGCGGCGCAACCGCCTCCTGGTTTAAATAATACTTCACCTAGCGAGGCCTATTGGACTACTCTGGACGCGCAGGGCGCTCGGCAAGCGGTGAACATGGTCAACGGAATGTCGGTCAATGGTCTCGGCGAGGTTTCGATGGACACAACCGTAAATCCGAATAATTTGCTGGCTATAGGTAAGGTTTGGTTTGACTCTTCAGTGTACCATTACATGTATTGAACCCGTTGTGTACGATATGTAACATTGTAATCAACGTTTTTGCCACATACATTAAGTCCGAGAACTTTGAATCTGCTCTAATGTCTGTAATGATAATTGTTTTTCGCACAAAACGTATCTAACAAGTCTTGAGACTTTCGAAAATCTTAATGGTGCTCATATGGTCATTGAGTAATCGCTTTTTGACCATTCTATCTGTATTCGACGTATATTTAAAACATAGAATGTCAAATATAAAAGATTTCAAAATAATGATAAAAATATAATCGTCTTTACAATCTTAGAAATCCCGAATTATTACTATTATTATTTTTAATAATGCTCAAAATAAATGTTTTCCTTCTGTGTATAACGTTTTTTTTTTGTAACGTGATAGATTGTAGTTTACCTAACATTTGTACATTATGTTGTTTGAGATTATTGTCACACGACACGTTTTATTTGCCAAAGACTAATTGTTTACTTTGTATTTGTCTTTATTTTAAAAATATTACAATCTTTTATGTATCAATATTTTTTAAATACAAAAATATACATTGTTTGTAGTAAATATATAATTTAAATTAAATATCTTGTTGATAAAGAATTTCAAGAAGAGAAAAAAAGTAATACGACTAAATGACGTTGACATTTGACTTTTAATTGGCTTCTTATTTTTCGCACGATCAAGTGACTTGGTATCTTGGTAAATGTTTAAGGATGATTTAAGATTTATATCTTTGCAGACTTATAAATTTGTCAAATCTTTTGTATAGTAAAGAAAAAAACAAAAATGTTTTTTAAAAACTAGAAATATTACTTTGCGTATACACGTTGAAAATTGTTAAATAAAAATTTCTATCGACTGTAGATAAAAAAATTCTGGTTTCATATGAAAAATATTTAAAATATGTAAAAAAAATATTAAAACATATTAAAATATGTAAAAGTTTGTTTTGATTCTTGTATGCTGATTATTTTAAGTACAATTACGTGTTAGTGTTACTGTTGACAATTACATAATTAGTAAGGTCTCAGATCTATTGTAATATTATTTACAGAGAATGGATTTGTTATTATAGATTTTATTAACCTATGTATCACGAAGGATAAGATTGTGCAAAGAAAACAAAGAGTTCCTTGTAATTGTCCTAATTTATACATATTTTGTAGAATTTACCTCATGTAAATAAACTTGTTTTTAGTAGTATGGGTTTTACATAATTTAACTGTGTGTACAATCCTATTTAAGTCTTTGGTTAATTTTTTTCATTATGTTTGTAGATATAGTAAAATAAATTCGACTATATTTTATTTATACGATATATATGTAATACAAATTTCTAGTTTACATTTATTAAATAATAGAAAAAATTATATATATCTTTTTCATAGGTAAGCGCAACATTCATGTAATGATGATTTATAAATTAATTTAATATAATACAATTTATAACTTATTTTAGAGTTGTTCCCTTTCTTTCTCTGCTTTTTTTTCTTTCAAATTGTTTTTTAGCCTAATTATAGTATTCCACAAGCATATAACTGCTTTGGGAAACACATTTTTCTAAGTAATAATTCTGTTTTATGATAATTGTATCTTGTTTTAATTTTATAGAGAATTTAAAAGTGTCATTTGACCGATCGAATTGATTTTTATCCTATAACTGATAACTGTCGATGTTCATTGACTAGTGATTGTAATATTAATAACAATATAAACAAAACATATGAATTTATATGTGACAGGAGGTCAACCAAATATTCATCCTGGTTCCATCTCGAGCACGGGACGTGTAGGTGGTCGTGTGGGAGGTACGGCTACGAGTACGCAAGCGGCACAGTTGATAGGTGGCGGAATAACACCGAACATGTTTACATCACCAGCTACTGTAAGTAGAAAACTGTGAAGTTTTCGTATTATCTTACCGAAAACTATGACGTCAGCAGAAAATTTAGTCCGTCTGAAATAGAGTGTTCTGACCGTGAAATCACGAGCATGTAACAACTACATGTACTAAAATATATTTCGCAATATACATACATACATATAAATGTATGTATGTGTATGTACTTGGCTATTTTTTATCTGATTATAAGTTTACACACGTGAGAGACGAAAACTAAAGTACGTCTGCTTGCGTGACTTTCGCGCTACAGCTTGGTGTTACTTTCCAGCAATCGCTGGTCCTCGGCAACACTTCTCATTATCCAGTGAATCCCAGTCTGATGATCGGCGACTACGTGACTCCTGGGAACGGCATATCGCCACAGGCATATCGACAATGATCTATAGCGAAGTCGTTTCTCACTGAGTATTCCCGCAAAGTAAAACAGTTACAAAATGATCGTAATAGCTGTAGCAGTATTGGAGATGCCGGCAGTAACAGTAAGCAAAGCCGCAAACTGGTATTTAGTTCTCCAGCCAGTAAGCTTCGACTCTCGTCCGCTGTGCGAATTTTAAGTACCGTCGACTTAGCCAATTTTAATGCAGAATTTGGCCATAGTAACAACGTTGCTTATTCCAATAAAAATATAGTCACTCCCGGATTTGCATTCGATTGGAATTCCGTAAGAAACAAGTCACAGTGGGAAGCGCGTTGGAAAAGACTGCGAGCCGTCCTCTCGTAGTTTTCATTAGTTTTCTCATACAATTGGTTTGTTGTCGTTCGGTTGTTCTTCGAAAAAAAAAAAAAAAAAAGAAGAAAAAGGAAAAAAGATCTTCCAGATCGACGCGTGCATGCTTGCCAAATGTATACCTATATGAAGATAATATTTTTTAATGACAATATATATACATATATAAAACTGTCGCTGTAGGAACAGGCATATGAAATTTCGTGACACGATAATTTTACGAGAGAATCCGGAATGATGACCGTGTTGTGATTCCTTTGTGTTTTCAGTTTCAATAAAAACCGAAATATGATTTCAATTCAGAATCCGCTCGAGAGAGAAGAAAACCAGGCGTATATCTTACCAAGATGCGACGTTGAGGCTTGGTTAGATTTCGACTATCAAGCGACTTTTACACGAGTTTTTAGAATAGGGGGAAAATGCGTTTTTTGAACATTTTGAGAAGTGCAAAGAGCAATAATACAATTAGGTATACGTTGTAGAGCACTCTGTGGCATTACCTGTTATTCGGATGTCTCTTGCGCTTTTATTTTATTTTATTTTTTTTTTCTTTTTTTTTTTTATTAAATAATCGACGTGTCTTTATTTCGTTAGCATGACAATACACGAGAGAGTACAACTTTTTACGAGTATTAGTTAATACTTCCGCGTATATAGAGTTCAGTCATCGTGTTAATCATATCAAGATGTTTTAATTGTTTAACGAGCAATGTGCGCGATGTGGTACCGCTCACCGCAATCGATCGCATTTTTTTAGACAAATTGTATATATATATCTGACTGTATGACGCTAAAAAGAGAATTACATGGGATACTTCATCCAGAAAAAAAAAAAGAAAAAAAACGACGACTACCGATCGATCACAGGATTATAGGATTTTTCTAAATTATCAATTTAAAACACTGGTTTTATGTTGCCATAGTCGTTTAATAAAACTCTTTAAACTTACAGATGTGTGTAACTACACTTTTGAGCAAGAACATTGCTCCAATGGAATCTTATAGTTTTATATGAGACGCGATCTGTAATTTGTAAGATATAGTTTTTGCGTTACACTTACTTTTTTTATATATACATATATATATATATATACACATATATATATATATATTTCGTAGTTGCGAGAAAAATGTCTGTTAAAAATAAAAAAAAGGGATGTCGCAAAATTACTCAATCAAAATTGAACATTGCAACAAAATATACAAAGTTCTGTTATCTGTGTTGTCTAAAATAAATTAAAATAAAAATAGAGAAATATCAAGAAACGTGATCCAGTTTTGCGTCACGCTTGATGACGAGAAATATTGTATGTAACTCGCCGCGAGACGCTGTCGCGTGTCTTGATTTTTCAAATTCTCTTACGTAAACACTGATATTATGACACTTATTAAATTTATTATTTATTATCATGCGTGTTTTGTGAGGTTTATATTGTAATAATAATCGATGTATATAAAAAATCTTCGTATAAAAATAGACATTTTTTCCATTGATGATCTGTAAACGTAACAAGTGACGCTTGAGAGAAAACTTATACATATTCCCACGTACTGATAACGACGATAAAACACGGACAAGTGTCGCCGATAGTGTCGAGTCGACACAAATTTTCCTTTTGTAATCATAAATCTATTGCGAATCGCGCGTAGTCTGACGTAAGCATAAAGAGAACGAGTGTTTTTTTCGCGTTCATTATTATTTTAAATGTAATCTTTAAGTGACAACTAAACAAAACAGATTTCCTTATCTAGTAGAATATTACCTCTAATATAATAAAACACAAACATTTGTGTGCACACAGTCACATATATTTAATAAATATTGCGCCGGCGGGATTAGATGGAGAATTGTTTGCGATCGAAACAAGCACATTGGAGCGCAACGAATAAGCTAATCCGTTTTGTCGAAATATCGGAGACGGAATATCGGAAGGGAATAGCGAAGCGACTTCGTATAAAATTGGCGATATTTGTTCGTGTTTTATTATGTGTAATATGGTAAAGTAAACACAAGAAATATACAGTCATAACGATTTTTCATCATTTTAACCCTTTCCATTCTTGTGTACAATGATGAACACAGAAGAACGAACTCTATCGCAGTCATTAATCGTTAGCGTTTCGACGTCTAATAACAGGAGAGATAAAAGTGACGTTTCAATTACTGTTTGCGCTAAAAACTGTTTTATTTTATTTATTTATTTTTTTAAATAACAGTTCCGATATCATTTTTTCTGACTTTTCATAATTGAATGACAACGTGTTAAAAATTGAATGCAAAGGGTTAAATTGTTGAAATATTTACCTATTTTACATACAGCAAGAGAATTTTTTTACTCCAGTGAATAAAAAACGTGAGAAATAATGATCGAATCATCAAATCGTGTCGGCATTGTGTGTATAAAAATCATTGTACATGTACATATCCTCGTATAATTTCTATGTATTGTTTTACACTCACACACATGTACACAGGATGTTTTACCAGAAATAATAATAATAACCCGAAGCTAGTTGATTATCTGGTACGATATCTATGTAGATCTCGCGCGAGAGAACTCTTTTGAGTCTTGTTAGTTTTTAAGACAGTTTCACTTTATTCTCGTCGTTCGCACACAACACACACACACACACACACATACACGCTTGCCATCTAATTCCGACGTATCGTATCTAGTTACCTCATCGCCGGTGATATGCAACGGTTATTTTTGCAGCAGCTTATCGCGCGTTTACTTTTCACATATATTCTCTTCAAATCGGGTCGAGAAATCCTCGATGCGAAAGACGAAGAAGAATCACGCGTGTCGTTTTCGCGTAAAAACTCACGCATAACACACTGGTGTGTACTTCGAATCAAATCTAAGTAATAATGTACTTACTCTCGATACAGGATGATCGTACCTTGTTATTTCTCGATGAAGTATTTCCGAAAGGCAGAGAACGAGAATCACAATACGCTTGTTAAATACGCGCGCTTCGGCACACACACATACAAACCAATCTCGCGACAGGCATTCCACAAGTGCTGCTAATATTGCATGGTTTGTTGTTGTAATAATTAATCTAAGGACTTGCTTCTTCCATCGTCAATTTTTTATTTTTTTTTTTTTTTTTTTTTTTGTTGAGGGGTGG